CATAAAATTTTCTATTTAATGATTTATTCTAGTCAACGAAGGAGTAATTTTGGCGAATAACAGAAAATATTCCCAACTAAATTTTTTTTTTTTTTAAGTAGGAAATTCGTGGATTATTCCAAAAGCAACATCAACTCTTATTTCTTTAATTATATCCTGATTAGTAGTTCTTTGATTTTAAAATATAATATATGAATAAATACTAATTATAATTATTAAATTTAGTATGAAATTGATATTCAATAATTTAATATTGTAATTTATACGGAGAAATTATAAAAATAATAAAGAAGTTATATTTTGCTTTACTTTTACGTGTATAAAAATTTAAAGGGCTTGATACAATAATTTTCAATAAAAACTGTTTGTTACTATAAAAAAATGCACTGGACTACAAGGAACTTTCATCAGAAGCAAAAATATACTTTTCTAAATCAACTTTTCGCGTTGTTTTCAAATCTGCAAGTAGACTATTTCTATCACTTCTAATTTTTTATATTATTACTAATTATATATATAAAATAATAATTAAAAGAAAAAAAAATTTGTTTTCAAATTATTACTGATTTGATTTTTAATATGTTAAAAATAATCAGTCCAAATTTTCAATTTTAACCTATTTTTTTGGTTCTTTAAAGTTGATGAAAAATTTTCGATAAAGATTTGTGAAAGTTTATAGTAAAACAAATTGAATATATTATCATAGCTTTTAGCTCAATTACAAGTTTAAAATTTACATCTAGATCAGTCAACAAAGGAAAAACTGCGGAAAAAATTCCTAACCAAATTTTTTTTTTTTAAAGTTGAATTAAAATATGTATAATTACATACTAATAGTCCTCATTGATTGGAATTGAGCTTTTTTTTTTTACAGCCTCGCAAAAGTTCAAAAATATGAGCTTTTTTAATTTTCTCAAAAAATATTTAACCTACAAAAAAAGTTTCGTACAAAAGTTGTTTAAAAGACAAAAAAATTATCTTATATTTTTTCATTTAAACAAATATTTTTCGAGTTACATTACAACATTTAATATGAGTACTAAAATTTATTTTCCATTTTTTTCATTTTACGGTTACTTTTTATCATGTTATACTTACATTAGACACAATGTTATACATGCATATGTGTGTATGTGTGAGTTTATTTATTTATAGTATTATTTGAGTGTAGTGTATATTAAGATATAATTGATAGAAGTAGATAATTGATTTGACACTATATTGTTTAAACCCAACAAAAAGCTAAATTGTACATTCCCAAACAACAATCATATTATGTCAATTGCCACCGAAATTTTTGGTAATCTTTTTATTTTTCTTTGCCTTAATCCCAACTACTTGAGGTAGGCCACCCTTATCCTAAGATTCCACTTGACCGATCTCCCACATCAGCTGTTCTCAAATCGCATTCAATAGCATCCCTCCATCTCTTTTTTGGTCTTCCTCTATCTATTCTTCCTTCAACATTCATTTCTATAACTGTTCTTACAGCTTCCGATTCTTCTCTCCTGATAGCATGACTAAACAATCTAAGTCTATTTTCTGTCATTTTATCCACGATTGACGCAACACCTTTACTTCCTCTTATATGCTCGTTCCTTATCATATCTTCTCTAGTCACTCCACTCATCCAACTAAGCATTCTCATCTCTGCTCTACATTCTTATCAACCACCCAACACTATGAACTATACATCATAGCTGGCCTCACAATTTCATACTAAATTTAAAAACTATAATTAGTATTTATTCATATATTATATTTTAAAATCAAAGAACTACTAATCAGGATATAATTAAAGAAATAAGAGTTCATGTTGCTTTTAAAATATTTCACCAATTTCTCTAAAGGAAACACTATCTACAGATTTGCATCGAAGCGTTTCTTATGATAGTGATTTTAATCACTGTCAGATATCATCTATACTTGTCCCATCTATGCCTCGTCCACACTGTGCCTCGACCCCACTGTGCTACCGTTTTTCTATTTAATAATGTCAATTTCAAACTTGCAAGTTGAACTATAAGTTATGGTAACAAATTCATTTTTTAGCTTCGATGCGAAGCTGAGAAGGTATTAATTTTACTATGATGTGTTTTTTTTTTTATTTTTTTATTTTTTTTTTTTGTGTCTGTGAACGCTCACCTCAGCTCTCGCTGGACCGATTTTGATGAACAATATGTCAAAAGATCACAAATCGTATCTAGTCGAAGACATTACCCTCAAAAATTGAAAAAAGTTCCCTCGTTCCCCGTAAACGGGGGAAATTCCCCAAAAAATTACAAATTTAAAAATCGCTAATTTTCGATATTTTTTCATTTTTTTATTAATTGATTTGATAACTGAGTAGTGTTTTCCGGATGTCTTAGTTTTGGGTGTGATTACAGAGGTTAATCCCCCTCCCAGAACAAAAAATATTTTTGCATTACTATATAATCCTACGACTAAGTTGCAAAAGCTTAGGACCCTTCAAATTTATAAATGTATATAATTTATAGCCCTGAACTTAATATATTTATTCACTGCTCATAAATATATATTTTTATGATCAGTCAATAAAAATTTAGTTATGATAACATAATAAAAATATTTGATTGATTTTTATTCATTAATTTTTATTAAAATTTTATACCATTTTTTAAGAATATACCATGATTAATATCTTCCGATAAATTCATTTACTGAACGTGATTTAATCTATTAAGCTGGCTACACATGAAGCGATTTAGACGCTAGCGGTCTAGATAGAAAACCACTTTAGTAAAAAACCGTGTCTGTGACTATTATTCATACGCAAGCGGTTTTATGATCGTATTTATTTTTGGCGCCAAATTTAAGATGTCTTGAGAGTAGTATGAGGATTAATTTTAATCCAGTTTTGTGATATTCGTAAAAGGTGACAGTCATGAATTTCAACGATGCCGAGCTAGTCGCCATTTGAGTATGGATCTGGATTCCGGACTTGAGCAAATGATTAAAATACATTGTTACTGAATTTTTTAAAAGTTTTTAGTTTTATCAACAGTAATATCATTTTTTAACACTTTCGTTAAAATATTATCATATTCTGTATATACAGAGTGTTCAGTAAGTAAGGCAACAGGTATTTATTATCCTCATTGTTTTTAACTATTAACGTGTTTCTTACCTTTTAATTAACTTCATATAGTTAGTGATATATTAGCGGTGTGTCGTCGTCGACTGGGCGGCACTTTGTACAGCGGCATATGACATGTGGTTTTTGTCAGACAAATTATTTTATTCAAATAATAGGATGGTTCTGTTGGCAAAGATGGTACAGGTCACAGGATTGTATCAATACATTATACAGAATGATTAAGGATAATATGCTTAACAATTTCTTGAAAAGTATTGAAAATTTTTAATTTTCGCGAAGGAAAATATTGTTTGATTTAATAATTTCTACTATATGTAGTTTAATTATTTTATCTTTCATCTCTTCAAGAGAAAAAATTTTATTTTGTTTAATGGAAACCACTATTTTTAGTTTGACGATATGATAGCCAAAAAAATTGTAAACAATTTTGTTTTTATCATTATTTTTACCATTATTCTGTTATTAGTTATTCAAGAATAGTGAGTTTTCAACCAATTTTCTATTATTCGCTGTTAAGCATACAGAAGTCGTTAATTGTCAAATATACTACTTTAACGTTGTGACGATTCATTGCACAACTAGATATTTAATAACTGACCGGCGATCGTAAGTGTATCAATTTTGACTATAACAGTCTAAAAAAAGTGCTTGATATTATTTTATTGTACAACCGTGTTGTTTTTAGTAAACAGAAAATTTCAAAAAGTTACAGAAAATTATAATACATATAATATTGCCCATTTGCTGTGCCTTGTCGCCCAATTTCCACTAAATTCCAATTTGGAACTGTCCTTATATTGTTAATATAATAATAACTACCAACGGTATACGCCATTACCATTCGTCCGCTACGGGTGTTATTATTATGCATAATTACGGCGTAATTATTGATTTAAAATTTATTTGTTATGAAACAAAACTTCAGATTTTCAAATGGCAACCCTATTTTTATTTAGTTTAATTAAAAAAAAAATGTTTTGTGAAAAAAATATTTTATTTTATTTAATATTAAATGCTCTATGGCTCAAGTTTAGGTTTTATTAAGAAAAAATTACAACAGATTCGAACGTTATAGGTCGTAAATCGATAAGCGCTACCAATTTTATATATAAACATACCACCAAGCTCATTTTAGTTATTCGGACTACGTGCGTTGACAGAGTAAACAGGTAGTTCTTATCGCTACATAAAATAATAATGTGACCGTGTTGGAAAAACTACCGAATTTTTTCATAAAATATCATAAATTTTAAATTTAATTTTTCTTGTGAAACAGCTCAACAAAAATCCATAATGATTTTAAAAACATAATAGTTTTATAACACTTGTATTTTCAAAAATATTTGACACATAGTTAGCCGATCACTCTGTATATGGTCTAAAGCAGTGGTCGGAAACCGGCGGCCCGCGGGCCGTATCCGGCCCGCGTGGCTATTGAATACGGCCCGCTTTAAATTCTAAATCGACTAATTTAATTGAATATCATTTTGTATAAATATAATTGAACGTTGCGTTTTTGGTACGGGTATTTTATATAAGTCATATTATTATTTTAAGTTTTAGATAGTATTTTTTTGCATAATAAATAATGTAATTATAAATTTTTTTTTTTTATCTGGCCCGCGAACTCTTTTTAATTTGTAAATGTGGCCCGAGAATTAAAAAAGGTTGCCGACCACTGGTCTAGAGACATTGTAATTTTGTTGTTTAATCTTATAATTTTTGTTTTCAGACTTTTAGTTTCGATTTTTTTATTCATAATAAATAATTCAAAAATAATTAATAATTTTAGGAAGGAAGATCAGTTAATAGTAAACTAAAATAATAAATTAATAGTTACTTTATAGTAACTACAAATAAAAACAAAGTATACGATAAAATATAAAGTAGAATTTGATACTTTATTACTTAAAACTAAAAATATTAAATATAAGACTAGTACTAATGTTAGTAATAAAAATGAAGAACACATAATAAACTAAATGACTAATATTACAATGTATCAAATTTATGTTTAATAGGTGACTATCATGTTACACTGACAAAAGTGACATAAATAAATTGTGTAAAAAAATAATATAAATACCAATAATTCTAATAAATAAATAGTAATGATAGTATTTAAATCCTTATAGCTTGATCTAATTCATAACAATATAAATAAATTATAAAAACGAACACATTAGTGAATAAAACTATAAATCAAGAACAGTCATGGAAATACATAATAGGAATTTTATAGAACTGCTTCTTAATTTTAAAAGTGTTATTAATTAGTTTTTTCTGTTTAATAATATAACAGAAAGTAAAAATATTTCATATAATAATAAACCATAAAAAACAAATAAGTTGTATAAGTGTTTTTTTATACTAATGTATAACTTATTATAATTACTTAAAAATCAGTTATGAATTTTGTCAATGACTTGAAATAACAAGTATATATATTATTTTTAAAATATTATAAAAAAAAAAAAATACAAATAAAAACAAAGATGCTACATTATAAAATATAATTTAATACATGACATGTATTTGGAAGAGATTCTAGAGGAGACTCAATAAGTTGTTCTATGGCAATAAATCTTATAATCAAAGTTAAATGTAATAATAACATAAATAATATTTCATTTAAAATCTTTGTCAAAATCTACAAAAAATTGTAAAAAAAATTAACTTATTTAAGTTAAAAATATATTTTTATTAAGTTTTTAAAAATACTATATAAAAAAATAAAAATTAGTTCTTATAAGTATTAACCGCTCGTATAGCACAGCATAAAATAAGGGCTAATACAAGACCAAAGAATTCAACTGAGCCAATTGCCACCAACACTACTAAAAATATAATTGTGAATTTTCGTAATGAATTTAACAGTTTTTCAGTACAACCCTGGAATAAAAAAAAAACTTAGTATTTATTACTACTTAAAACTTAAGTATTTATATTTTTAAAACTATTTGTAAATGAATTTCTATGAATTTCTAATATATTTGAAATTATATTGATGTTTAAAAATAATTTTATAGAAATGGAAAAATTATGTATATTTTAAGTATAATTTATATAGCTCGTAAAAATGATATGGAAATTATTTAAAAACTAGTTATTCACCAAGTAAATTAGTACTCATACTCTCAATTATACAAAATTGATAAAAAATATGATAATTAGACACTATTTTAAACTATATTTTATAGATTTTCTAACCAATGGTTAATATTCATCTAATTTAATCAATCTCTCATTGATCTAGGTGCAATTGAATTTGTAGACTATACGATCCATGAGAATGGGACCAGATGATCATTTGTAATGGTTTGAAAATGTAAGGTATCAATGCAGGTAGACTAAATTTTTATAAGTTATACTTTTAGTCCAAATTTTAAGCTTCTATTTAAAATTTTACATTACATGATTAATTATTAGTTATAAAAATTTCAATAGACCTCTTATTCTTATTCTCATCATAAAATAGAACACATATATATGACACACTAATATTTAACTATTGCTTAATAATAATTTATTAAGTAAACTTAAAACTATATTAAAAATATTGAACTCAAAAGCCACAAAAAATTACTGAAAAGTCGCAGTTACGTATTTTGGAAACAATGTTACCATTATCAACTCTAAACAGTATGTGTTAAGCATTGATAATGGTAACATTGTTTCCAAAATACGTAACCGTGACTTTTCAGTAATTTTTTGTGGCTTTTGAGTTTAATATTTTTTAGTTTTTAAATTAATAATATTTTTAATATAGTTTTAATTTTACTCAATTAGCCACAAGCGATCAATTTTTATCAAATAATTTATTATTTAAATAAATTTTACCTCTGAATATATAAGGTCAGATATTTGACCAGTTGCTACAGCAGTTTGTGCTCCTAAACATTGCTTTGATTCAGGATCAACCTTACAACAAGAAGCTGGAATTTTGTAAGACTGCTCTGAGGAAGTTATGGCAAGCCCAAGACTTTCTGTCTGTGGATTATTATAAATACTTCCAGCCCAATCAGATGGACCCAAACCACCACAACACTCAAACTATAAAAGTTATAATATTATTTAATTAGTTTCATTCCATTTCTATTTATAAAAGTTAACTTATAGTTTAAAATAATCTTTGTTTGTAGTAATCATACAAAAACAATAATATTAAATAAGGGGTTCTTTCAAAAATCAGAAAAAAAAAATTATGCAAAATTAAATTTTTATTACCCTAGATTTAAAAATTAACAACAATTTGAACTAAAATGAATAAGTCTTGAAATTTAAACTAGGTTTGACAAAAAATTTAAACTGATGAACAAGTTAAATTTAATTTTTATAATTTAGTTTAAACTCAACTGAATAAATTTAGGTTTATATTAAACATTTTTGGTTTGTCTTAATATTAAATATATATACTATTTACACATCTCTTATTAAAGTGTGAATCAACTTACTCCAATTTGAATAGCATCAAATGTTTCAGTACGTACAGGTATTTTTCCATATTCTGATTGTATAGTTGTTTTAACTGTATATCTTGCTAATTCTTCTAATTTGTACATGTTTGCATACATCCAAACAGCAGCTGATATTTGAGCCACAAGAACAGTAAGGAGTAAACAAAAATACTTAAACAAAAAAAGTTAAGTTAGTGTATTCCAAGTAAAGATTTACATTTATTGCATTACTAGGATAAGGGAACATTGAGATTCACTGATAGCTGCTGCACAGCCAAGAAAGCCAACAATTAAGAGTAGAGCACCAACAAAAAGAATGAGATATATTCCTGTATAATAACTAGCTTCATCTTGAGCCATACTTATTGAAAAAGTAGGATCTATCCACATCCATACTGCAAGTACTATAAGAAGTAACCCACATGACTGCAAAAAAAAGTGCCATTAATATACAAAATACTTTTTTTATATGAGTAATGTAGTAAATAACTTAAAACTTAAACAAAAAAAAAAGTAAATCATTAAAATATGTAAATGACAAATATTTTATTTTATAAGTTTTTAATTATCACACTATACAAATATAATTTGATACAATAAACAAATCAAAACAATACCATTCAATTTATGAGATTTCACTTATTTTTTATTAAGTTTCAAACTATAGATGTGAAATTCGCCATAAGAAATATAATTTTTTTAAATTGAACATTATTATTATTATTAACTTATTACTATCAGTACAATAATATTTAATAATTATTCAGAGTGATAAATTTATCATAAACCACTCGATTATTTACAAAATATATACAATATTATAAAAAAAATTTTGATTTTTTTTTTGTTACATATAATTCTTGATTTATTAGCTAATAATTACTTTTTTGAATCATCCCTTATTACTTAAAGGAGTGTTAACTTTATTTTTTTAAATGGCAAAATAAATATTATACTAGCTTATAAAATAGAAAATAATCTAATTAAAAAAGGACTAGTTGATAACATATTAAAGACCAATATTTTGGAAGTTATTTACATTTTCATACTTAGGCAAAACAAAGAGTATGGTCGGGAAATGACAGTAATAAAAATAACAGCAAGCACTTTTTACCACCAGACATTACTTTAAATTGTTAATAACTTTTGAAATACTGGTCCAAAAGTTGTTATTAACTAGTTATTTTCTTAATTAGATTATTTTTTATTAAAATTTGTAAGTAATTGTGTGGTTTATGATAAACCGATCACTCTGTATATATATATATATATATTTACACTAAAATATTTTCAAAGCGAAAAAACATTTTAATTACGCTTCTAAAATGTTGTACCTGTAAATGTTAAAATAACAAAAGTGAATCATAATAATTAAAAATAACTTTTAATTAAAGAGTAGTAAATAGGAGAATATTAGCAAAAAACTGAATTAATAAAATAAGGTTTTTTTAAAAAAATTACAGGTATTTCTCTATAAAATGTTTAATATTTGTAACTCAAATAAAGTTATTAATCATGTCAAGTATGATTATGAATAAGTGCAGTAGGTATTTTATAACTATAAAAATAATTATGTCCCAAAGCAAACGATTTCCAACATTTCTATGATACTTCATGAATGCTTAATGGGAAAAAAATTACATCCTACAATCTTTAATTGTTTTGATAATGGCAATATTAATAAAATAATTTAATTATTTTAACTGTTAATTGAAGTGATTACTTAATTTAAGTATATATAAGAAATTAAAAACATTTCATACTTACAAAATATAAGATATTAAGTAATGTAACTATATGTTTCATAAATGCATAACAGCCAGTTAACGCCATTTTTCTTCAAAATATCAGCTAGGTGTATGACAAACAAAATCACAGCACCAAAGGTGACTGTAAGCTTTCTTTTAAATTTGACAGCTTTCGAGCTTTCCTTAAATGGGCATGTTGTCAAACTAACAAAACGCAATGCAAGTACTACCCACAATCACATCTAATATCTATTTTATCATTATCCAGATTTACTGTGTAAATTATTTACATTAAATCATAATAACAACATAACCATGTCATTAGATAATTGTGTTATTATTAAGTAGCTTTGATGGTATAAACTGTTGGTAACACTGATAAGTCATTTTCCAAAAGTGATAAATGAAAATATTACTCACTACGAGTTGAGAAATACAATAACAACCTTGGGTCAATTCCAAATATATATTAATTGTAGAAAGAAAAACTGCAAAGTTCGATTGTGATTTTTTATAGATACGTCTTCACAAGAGATTGCATAAAATGTACTTTTGGAGTTGACAGTATCGCGTATTAGTTCATTAGTCTCGTTTTTCATTTCTACACTTGTATAGATTTTAGAAATTAGTTGAAGGAATCATGTCTACGCCAGCTAGGAGAAGGCTCATGAGAGATTTCAAAAGGTAATATATCCGTGCAAGCTTTAGAAATATTTTGTTTCATGTACTTGAAACATACATTTTATTATTTGTTATTAGATTACAAGAAGATCCACCTACTGGAGTTAGTGGTGCTCCAACAGATAACAATATTATGATATGGAATGCTGTTATATTTGGGTATAGCTTCTTAAAACTTGAGTTAAAAATGTATTAATATCATAATTTTTGTTTAGACCTCATGATACTCCTTTTGAAGATGGTACTTTTAAATTGACAATTGAGTTTACAGAGGAATATCCTAACAAAGCTCCTACAGTTCGTTTTGTATCAAAAATGTTTCATCCTAATGTATATGCTGATGGTGGTATTTGCTTAGATATACTACAAAATAGGTGGAGTCCTACATATGATGTTTCTGCCATACTTACTTCTATTCAAGTAAATATTTTATTGATTTATTTGATTTCATTATAATTTATATTATGTTTTAGTCATTATTAAGTGACCCAAATCCTAATTCACCTGCTAATTCAATGGCTGCTCAACTTTACAAGGAAAATCGACGTGAATATGAAAAAAGAGTTAAGGCTTGTGTAGAGCAAAGTTTCATAGATTAATTTTCTTATGTCAGCATTCACTTTCATCCTTAGTAATTACTGCATATGAAAATATATTAACATATATATATATATATAAATGTATATTTACAAATTTCCAAAAGTCAATGTTTTTATTTTACGAGTATGTATCTTTTATTTGATAAACCATTGTTATATTTTTTTGGCTTAAATTAACATAATAAATATATAACATAAAAAAAATTATATTTTAAATATTATGTATTTTCACATAGAAATTCTATTAGTATAAACAATTAATACAATCTGTATTAATTTTAGTAAGATTAAATTAAAATGCTGAGTCTAAATAAGTGAACAGTCTGGATTGTAGGTTATAAATATAAGTAATTAATTACTTGAGTTTCTGTTCAAAACAGTGACAATCATATTAAAATTTTTAATTAAACTCGCATTAACCTCTGCATGATTGAAGTTATAACTTTTCAAATATGTTTTTATATAATACTCAATGAATCAACTTCATAATTCTAATTTACCTATGTTAATTAAAAAACTAACTATGAATAATAATTACATTGTACTTATGGTATTCTTAAATGCACAATATATATAATTCTTGTTTGTGTAACAATTTATCATTTTTACTTACCACACACAACTCAAATCTTCAAGATGGTTATAACTATTTTTACTTAAATATAATTTTAATTTCAAAGTAACTATATGCTACTAACAAACTAGACAAATACATTTTTTTTAAAACAATTTTTAAATATGAATAAAAAATAACTCAAAACATTTATTAAGTTTAATATCAAAATATAAAAATCAAAATAAGAATGTATTAAGGAAAATGTTGAAAAAAAAAATTTTTTTTTTAAATTTTAGAAAACATTTTCAAAATTTTTTATTGTCAAGTAAAGACCAAGTATATAGGTAAAATAATATAAATTTTTTACGCAGAAAATTGAACCACAGCTTCAATTTTTTGTTTCTATGTTCAGAATTATTAACATTAAGTTGAAAAAAATTCTTTACAAAATAATATATTATTATTAAAATATAATAAGTCATATATTTTGAGTAAGTTTTGGAAAATCAAATATTAGTTAAATAAATAAAAATTCATATACATCTAATTTAAGTCTATAATTCACATGGTAGACTAATTACAGAACCAGTTGCGCAACTAAATGAAATAAAATATGAATTCTATTCATGATTTACTTGATTACCAATATTAATTTGAAGTTCTTCATGATGTCTCTCTTTTTTCAAAAGTTCAATATTCATTATTCCAACAGTCAATGGATCATCAGTTGGCTTAGTTATGCATAAATTATATGTATTAGCCTAGGAACACAAAATTGTACAATAGATTAATTTAGTTATTTCTTGTATATACAATGTTCTTGTAAAGACTACAGAAAAATGCTGAAGTTTCCTAATAAAAATACAAATTTATATATAAAACCAAAACAAAAAATATTTCTACAAAATTATGTATGTAAAAAAAAAAAAAATAATTTTAAAATAAAGTTTTAAATAGCATCAAATTGTTGAGACAACTAAAATATAGACAAGAATGAAAAAAAAGAACTTATAATAAATTTTTCTTTTCTTGGGTTAAGTGAATTTTACATGAAGATCAAGCAAAGAGTAAATTTCTTTATCTTGTTTAATCCAAATGGTTTTATTATGGAAAAATTAAATATAAAATAAAAGAATTTTCCCAATATTTTTAATAGTTTTTATTTTATAAAGTAAGGTAATTTACTTTTTACACAACCCTCACACATATTTTACAAATTAAATGAGTTTATTTGATAGTTTTAATAAGTAATTAGTAAATTAAATTTTACCAGCATTAAAGATGATAAAAAAAACCTAGCAACTTCTCCTTGTTTCTGGCCTGAAACTAGTTGTTCAAAAGATTTTTTTTCTCCTTTTGTGTTGAAACAGTTGAGTACTTTTGTTCCATAATCATGTATATCAAATGCTGTTCGTCTTTCTTCATCTTCAAGAATAGGACGTAGATTATCATGCCAAGCCTGTACTCTTTTACGCATTTCTAATTGCTCATTCATCTTAAATAAATAAAGAAAATTTTTCTTATTTTATACTATAACATGTTATAAAATACTGAATGATTGACAGTGTTTATTATACATTATTAATAATTCAGTAAAATAATAACTTACTAGTTCAATTTGATTCTGTTCATGTTTTCTCATATCTTCCATGTTCTTTTTATAAGTTTGAAAATCTTCAACAGCCACTTCTTGTTCTCCAATATCAGGCTCTTCACTATGAGCATCTCCATTATCAATCATGTCATTAAAACCATCAAAACCACCTATTTTTTAATTAAAAATAATTTAATATAAACGGATAATTTTAAAAATACCTTACCACCATTTAATAAATCTTCATCAAATTCTTCATTTATCTCTGAAAATAAAAATTATAAAGACAGTAAATAAAGATTTTAATTAGTTGTGTTGATATCTAGTTAACAATAATATAATTAATTTAGGAAAAATTCTAAAGATTTTTTTATTATTTTAAGTTTATTTTTGTATGTTGAAAATAATTATCTAAGAATTTCACATCTATTAAATACGTTTTTAAAATAGCAAAGTATATAATTTATTGACCATTTCAGTGGTTTACCACTGCATCAGCTAATTTTTAAAGGTAAATAATAATAATAATAATAATAAAAAAAATATATATGTATAAATTAAATAGTTTTAATTATTATGGGACACATAAAATTTTAATTTATTTCTATGTATTCTTCCCTTTTATTTTATATTCTTTTTATCTGCATAGAATTTATTTGGTACAATAGCTTAAAAAAGAGAACCACAAGGGCTATGCCTCTTTCTATTGGTCATAATATATATCTCCAAAATGAAATAATGAACAAAAAATTCTAGTTAGTTGAAAATTTCTATGAACTATGGTTACCTCTATTAAGATATTTTAACCGTTCCACCAATTTGGTATTATATATGGTAGATATGAAAGAAAATTATAATACTACTTTTTCTTTTTAAAGTACATAAGTGAACTTTCTATTAAAAATAACTAAAATAAAAAATTATAAAAAATAATTTATAAACATTATTTACCTTCAGTTAATTGTTCCTTAGAGTCTGAAAATTATTTAAATACATATAATTAATATAGTTTACTACCTAAAAATTGACTTATTAAATACTTGTAAAATAAAATAGCTACCTTTAATGTGTTTTAATTTCTTTTTAGCAATATCTGATCTTTGTTGATTTTGAGCATCTGCAACTAATTTTCTAAATGCTGGATCTACACCTAGACCGGTTTTGAGTTTGAACATTTCCATGAAAAGTTCTGACACAACATATGTTGGTAACCATATCCCATTATCATTATCCTAAAAGCATATATATATAATTATAATTTTTTTTTTTTATTAACAAAATATAGATCACATAAAACATAAAACATGAATTAGGTATTATGTTCTTGTAAATATTTATCAGGACGCAACTTTATTCTATTTTATAGATTTCTCATAATGTTTAGAATAATTGATATCTATGAAATTATTCATAGAATATCAAACTAATATTAAATTTATTCCTCTATATATTTACCATATTTGTATTTGTGGTATGTATACAAATTTTTATAAATAATTACAGAAGAAAAGTCCATTTGGTAGGATTAAGGGAACATTGTTAGTGACAAATTGGATATCACAAAATTTCATGTATTCAAAGAATCTTTAAGGATTTTCTAGCTATTTTTGTAGGTAAATATAACAAAACTTTAAATAAATAAATTGTTTTAACTTTGCTTAAGATATAATTACAATAATAAACTTAACACTAAATAAAGTTTGATTAATTTTTTTATAAATGGGGAAGCTTTATATCAACCAATTAATTATTTAGCTTCGATGTGAAAGCTAAAAAGGTATTAATTTTACTATGATGTGTTTTTTTATTATTTTTTTTTGTATCTGTTACCAATCATTGTTAGCTCTCACTGGACAGATTTTGATGAACAATGCGTTAAAAGACACAAATTGTATTGTAATTTTATGCAATTGAAAGCATTGCCCTCAAAAATTGAAAAAAAAATTCCCTCATTCCCTGTAAAATTCTCAGATCTTACTGGACCAATTTCGATGATAATATGTCAAAAGAACTAATTTTAATCCAGTTGAAGTAATAGTCATAAAATATTGGAAAAAATCCCTTAATTGTAGAAATTTAGACAAATATCTACTGGCAACTTCAAAACTTTTTTTAAATAAATATCTCCAGAAATAATAAAAGTATAAAATTTGTTTTTATACTAGATTACACAGTAAAATTATATCATTAAAATGAAACATTTCTTAATCAGCATAAACCAAATATACTTTGCTAAACCATATTTTTATTCTGATATCAAATCTGCAATTAGATTAATTTCCATCGCCTCTTTTTTTTTTAAATTATTACTAATTTATAAAAACGACTATCTAAGTTTAAAAATTGATTTTAATTTTTAATAAGTTAAAAGTAATTTATGAAAAATTATGTCATATTAAACCTATTTTTTTTCCTTTAAAGGTGACTTTTATGAAAGTTTATAATTTAAAAATGTTGAATTTTTAACCTTTTTTTTAGTTCAATTTGCAAGTTTGAAATTGATATCATTTAATAGAAAATTTTATTAGGATTTAAAAAATAATTTTGTTTATATTGACATACGATCAGGAACTTATAAAATTACTATTAACAGTAAAATTATGAAAAAAGCCCAAAATTTCATTAAGATCACTTTTGATTAATATATTTTTTGTATAATAATAAATTACTTCAATAGAAATACTAATCATTTCTTTGTAACTCTTGATGTTTAAATAGATGCTATAATTGAAATATCCAGAAATGTATTCTGAATAGTTATATCCTATTTTTTTAAACTCATTAGTAATAAAATCAAAAGTTAGTGGTGATAAAAAAAAAATCTAATTGCAGATTATAAATCAATGCGAAAAATTCATCAAGAAAATTATATTTTTGACTAATGAAAATTTCTTGTATCTATTTATACACAATAACCAACAACTACTTTATAAAATATTTTTATAAAATACTTTATAAAAATTCTTATACAAGTTTGACATAAAAGTAATAACTACTTAATAATTTTGTTTAAGTTCTCCGTAAAAATTACAACATTAAATTATTAAATATCAATTTCATACTATATTTAATTTCTATAATATATATTTATCATATATTATATTAATAAAATAAAGAACTATTAATCTAGAATTTATTTTGTTTTTGGTATAAGCAATTTCTTAAAATTAAACAATATCTACAGATTTGCATCGAAGCGTTTCTTATGATAGTGATTTTAATTACTGTCAGATATTATCTATACTTTTTCCAACTATACCATATCCACACTGTACTACCATTTTTTTTACTTTTCTTTACATAATGACTCATAAAAAATTTGACCTCCTTAAAATCTATTTGGAAGAAAAAAATAATTCATTTTATCAACTTCTTAATTTTTGTACATGCAATACTAAATACTAAATTTATTTTATATTTAAAAGTAAATTAATATTTCATTGCCTAAATATATTATTAATTTTAATTGTTAGTTAACAGTTAATTTTCATTTCAATAATAATGATAAATAATATTTATTTTTAATTTGACTTAAATGTTCAAAAATTAACTTAATCACTCAAGCTTTATTATTTAAGATAGTAAAACTCTAAAAAAATAGATTATAAAGAATGGTATAAGTAAAATAAGGGATAAAAAATAATAACTTACAATTTTTTTAGAACCTTTTTTTTTAGTAATAGGTTTATCAGAATAAATATCTGATTTAGTATCATTAACTGAATCCCATGCATCAATATCCATTTTTTTTCTTTCTGGTATTTGACTAACATTTAAAATATTGGCTGGACTAAAAATTAAGCAAACAATAAAATATTACAATATTGTAACATAAATTTTCATCATCTTACTTAAGAGATATGGCATTTGCCACACAAATTTCATCAGAGAAAGTTTGATCAAAAATCACAGGTTCTGGCGTAATTGATGGGGGATCATATGGTTTATGATCCATACCTGATACATTTATTGGAAGCTAAAGAAATCATTATGTATATTTTACAATTTCATTATTGAATAACTAAATTATAATAATTAAATAAACTATACAGAGTGATTTTTTTATCATAACCCACTCAATTCCTTACAGAATAAAAACAATTTAAACATTTTTTTTTTTTGTTATCTTCAGTTACACATTATTCTTGAATTATTAACTATATAATACTTTTTTCACTCATTATGCCTTGTAAGGGTGTCAACTTTATTTTTTTTAATAGGAACACATATTTTGATTTTAATAAAATGTTTGAGTTTTTGATGTAATAGTAAATGGCATTTGAATCTTTAGTATAACTTTATTTGGTAATTAGATATAAACATTTAAAGTTTCAAATTTTTGAGTTAATATACATGTATAATACACAAGGATTACAAATACAGGTAGCTAATTGGTTTTTTATGATATTGATATTCGCAGGTACACAGTATTATTATTATCAATGGTAGTAAGACACATTGTTGTAAGTTTATAAATATACTAACAATACAAAAAGTATATCTATTGATAGTCATAATTGATAATAAAAAATCCGTGACTATGACAGCAATATCATAAAAACCAATTAGTTACCTATATTTGTAATCCCCTGTGTATTATATATATTGTATATTAACTCAAAAATTTGAAACTTTAAATGTTTATATCTAATAAACAAATAAAGTTACACTAAAGATTCAAATGCCATTTACTATTAAATTAAAAAAAAAAAAAAGTTTAAATTATGTGTTCTGTTAGTAATTGAGTGGGTTATGAAAAAAAAAATCACTCTGTATATAATATAATGGATATTTTTTTGTAATATTACCATGTAATTTATTAAGAATAAGATAATCATTTTCTCCTAAACAAATGAGAATTTAAATTTTTTATAAAGAAAATAAAAACTTAATTAAAAAAATTATTAGTTTTTTTAATTATATATTTTTGTTTTTACAAACATTTTAAATTCTTTATTGTATATAAAAAAATGTATTTCTATCTTTTAGATTACTTATATATAATAAATTACAATAATTAAATTTAAAACAACACATACTGGATCAGTACTTTCGCAAAATTGAAGAGGTGGAATATTTTCTTGGTCACCATTAGTGACACAATCAAACTCTTGGTTCACGGCTAAATCTCGATTTAAACAGTAATTAATCCTGTAAAATATTAAAATTTACCCTCACTAAATACAGCTTACAAATAGATGAATTTTTAGGGTATGGTTGAGTTTTATACATACTTTATAAATACATACATATACTTATATGTAATAAGTGAAAAAATAAATACTTTTTTTGACATTACATTATACAGAGTGATTTTTTTATCATAACCCACTCAATTACTTGCAGAATAATAATAATTTAAACATTTTTTTTTTTTTATCTTTAGTTACACATTATTCTTGAATTTTTAACTATGTAATACTTTTTAAATTCATCCCTTATGCCTTGGAAGGGGGTCAACTTTGTTTTTTTAAATGGTAACACATATTTTTAATTTAATAAAATGTTTGAGTTTTTAATTTAATAGTAAATGGCATTTGAATTTTTAATATAACTTAATTCGTTTATTAGATATAATCATTTAAAGTTTCAAATTTTTGAATTAATATACAGGTATAATACACAAGGGATTACAAATACAGGTAGCTAATTGGTTTTTTATAACATCGATATTAGCAGGTACACAGCATTGTTATTATCAATTGTAGTAAGGCACATTGTTATGAGTTTATAAATACACTAACTGACAATACAGAAAGTATATCTATTGATAATCATAATTGATAATAAACAATCCGTGACTGAGACAGCAATGTCATAAAAATCCAATTAGCTACCTGTATTTACAATCCCATGTGTATTATACATGTATATTAACTCAAAATTTTGAAACTTTAAATGTTTATATCTAATAAGCTAATAAAGTTATATTAAAAATTCAAATGCCATTTACTATTAAATTAAAAACTCAAACATTTTATTAAATTAAAAATATGTGTTACCATTTAAAAAAACAAAGTTGACCCCCTTCCAAGGCATAAGGGATGAACTTAAAAAGTATTACATAGTTAATAATTCAAGAATAATGTGTAACTAAAGATAATAATAAAAATTTTTTTTTAAATTATTATTATTCTGTAAGTAATTGAGTGGGTTATGATAAAAAAATCACTCTGTACATATTATATAGGTAAAAATTGTTATTCACATGGAAAAAACTCCATGTGTGAAACTGGAAAAACTGAGGTTTTAATATTTATAAATGTAGAAAATATATATATATATATATATATTATTTTATGTTATATATAAAAATAAACCTTTATCTAATATCTTTAATTAGTGATGATTAAAATAAAAAATTAATTAAGTTAACATTGTAACTACTAGTATTTAATAAGTTTTTCATGAGTCCAATAAAATTGAGATAATTTCATTGTAGGTAACAATAATAATATAATATTTTGTAAAAACTAAAAAAAATTTATTTCATATAAAAAAATTTTTGTTTATTTTTTAAATTTTAATGTGTTAAGTTATAAAAATTTAATCTAACGAAATTATGTTGAATTTAGTAGTTAGTTTTATAAGAAGTAGGGTAAAGGCACCAGCCATTGACAGACTAACTATTTTTTAGCAATGTTTTAATGAAATATAATGAATCTAAAAAATATTATATTAAAGGGATGGATAGATAGTGATGAAATCAAAACCATTTTTAATTATAAAACTTATCATCATCTTTATCTCCATAGCTTATATCTTAGCTATTTGGGGTTAGCTATACCTTAAAAATAATTGACAGAATTTTTTACACCGTCTGTCGACCTGACACAACCTCATTATGACAGAGGGAGCTATAAAGGGGAAAGATGTTTACCACTATTACAGCTCTCATAAGTTACCCATTCAGCAACCAACATCAAACAGCACAGCTGTACATCAGCGTTAAAGAGACTTAAACTGAATGATCAACTGTGCTATACCATGTGATTAAACTTACAAATAAATTAGGTATAGTTAATTTTATCCTCCAACTATGTATAATCTAAATTCCTTTTACAGTAACTTCCATTACTATAAACTAGACAACTAGCTATATTTTAAATTCATCAATGAACTGTCTTAAGTAAGTGACTAACAACGACCTATTAATTTCCTTTTAAATTAATATCTATTCTAAATTTCAACTTATTATATAAGACATTTTTTGGTTCATTAAATTAAAAATATTATTAATTTTAGTATCATTGTATACATTTAATAATTTGCTAATAATTGTAACTGGGCTTAAGTCCATGACTATAATAAAAATATATTTCCTTACATATAGTCATATTTTTTTCCAATATTTTCACCATTTCCAATACAAATATAAGGTAAAATGTTGCTATACTTGTTATCCACCTTTATGTTAGCATTGAGTACAATTTTCGGTATAGCCGGTAATTTTGTTAAATTAATAATTTTGCAATCAAAATTTTTTACTATAAATAGAAAAAAATAATTAAATTATAAATTAATAATTTTATAATTTTAATTTAATTTTTGCCGTAAGAACAGTTGTAGCAATGAATGTTGAAGGAAGAAGAGGAAGAGAAAGACCAAGAAAAGATGGTTGGATGTTGTGAAGATCTTGAGAGGATAACAGTAGAAGATTGGAAAGAACTGGTTCATGACTGAGAGAAATAGTGGGATATTATGATAACGGTGACTCTTAAAGAGTATTAAGTGCTAAAAGAAGAAGAAATTAATATGTATTAAGAACTTAAGAGTTCATTTAGAGTAAATATTAATTTTTCTAAAAAATGAAATCCAATTTCTTATGGAAAAACACAACCCTACTTACAAGTCCCAATTATTTGTCCTTTTATTGGTTCAAATGTTGGGTAGTATTTAATCTTTTTTTCTTTTTTCTTTTTTTTGTTACACTCTACATTTTCAGCATCATCGTCTCCATTATTTTCTCCATCATTCTGATGAACTCGACTAATTATAATTTAAATTAAATATAAATATTTTTAAAGTATGAAAATAAAAAATAAAGTAAAATATAATACTTAAATAAATTATATTATTAATAAACACTTACTAAGCTCGAAACTTTCTCACAAGTTTCATCATAAAATCTACTAAATGATCAACTCTTTTTTGATAAATTAAAATTATATTTTGAAACATCAAAGCAGCTTCAACAAAGTCAACATTATCTTCTTCCCGTAATTCTCTCAAATGATATAAATATGAATCCAATTCCTTAAAATATATAACTATGATAATAGTACAACAAATTACATTGGTTTAAATTAAATATCATTCTTATATTTAATCAAATAATTGTATTATTTCTTTACTGTAGCTAATCAATTTATTTTACTTTAAATTATTATGATCTGTCATTATTGTTCTTTTGTTAAATCCAAAACAATACATTTTTTTTGTTACTAAGTATTTCTAATAATAGAAAAAATTTAGTGCTAATTTAGAGTAAAAAATATGCTCATCAATAAAGACCAGAACCTAAAAATAATGTTGTCTTTTAATTATTTTTTGATTGACATTTAAATAAAACACTAAAAAATAAATTGATACATAAATAACATAATATTTTTAATTTATAAAATAATGTTTTTTATAACGAAAGCCTTCATAACATTAACTACGTAGTTCAATAACTATATTAAAAATAATTTATTAAAATAAAAATTTCAAATTCAAATTTATACAAAATACTACACTAATATTAACTATTACAATATTTTAGTTGAATAAACTTCTAAGCTTTTTTATTTTATGTTAGTATTTTAGAACAAAAACTCAATAACTCTTTGTATATTTTATTTCTACTAAGCATTGAAGGAAATTTTTTGAAGTATTTAAATTTTTAGATTTTACTAAATAAATAAATCTCTCATAAACTGAATTTTTTTTCTTATTTTAATAATGTTGCATTTAAATAATATACAAAATTTTAAAAATGATTTCATATTGTAATTAAGATTTGGTTCTTGATTAGATAAATAAATTGTTTGTTTGGTAAATTAAATAATATATTGTTTTTTTGATAATTAAATTTCTTTATATTATATATAAAGAAAGCTAAAGATATTCTATATTGTAAACACATATTGAGTTGGGATGGGGTTTGATGTGGGACAGTGGATTATTCAGTCACTACTTAAGCACTGATGTGTCAGTTGAACTGTTGGCTGATGGTTCTTGAATGGATGATCATACAGGAGATTTAACAGTAACATACCCTTTACTTCCTTAGTTTTAGTTATTAGTGAGGTGGACATAATGCCCATTCACTCAGACCAGTTGGTCCATTGCGCACACCTCATACTGCATTGCTTTGACTCCGTTTATACACCTAAGTGTTACTGCATTATACTTATCATTGTATAAAGGGTGGACTATCAAGTCACCCTTTGTAGATGTCCAGAATCCTGTCTTTCTGTCAAAAATTAAATATCTGTTTGTCTTATTTGATGTCTAGTCATGCTATTAAAAATTCCCAATAGAATACCGGGGGTCATGATAAATACTTTCCAGAGTATACTTGACAGAGTCAAGGAAATAATGATAATGATATATTGATTTATTATAAAATATAATTTGTTATTTTTATTTACTTTGATTAAATTGTAGTCATAATGATTTGTTTTGGCAATTAATTCAATAGGTCGTAAGAGGTTTTTAAATGCTTCATCAAAATCACGGTCCTCTTGATATTTTTGCATAGGTAATTCTATAAAAAAAATAATTTTGTTATATATATAATATTCAATACATCTAAATGAGAAATACCATATTTTCATGTTAAAGTTAAAAAGTCTTATTTATCCTAAAATAGATTAATTACAAAATAACATAAATATATATATTTGATCAAGAATTAAATTAGTAAAAATCTTAGAGAATGAATTTAATAAAATAAAATATATGGATTCATCTTTATTAACTAAATAAAGACAGTTTATTTTAAAAGTAAAAATTAATATCGCAGTATTTTTCTTAAAATTTTTATACAAATTCAGGGGTGGACAGCCAGTTTTTCAATAAATGATCTTTTTTCTCTGTTTATCTCCAAAAATTACTGCTACTAACATTTAAGTGTTACAATTTTACAGAAAATTTCATGTTATGGTTTATTCTTAATTTCAATGAGTTTTTCATGCTAAAAAATTTGGAAAAGCCACTAAATTATTTAAAAAGAATCTATATGTAATTAAAATCTATTTGTAGATTTTATGTTCTATTTGAGGGAAAGTTATTTTGTGTAATTAAGTTTTTTTACAATTAGATATTAACCATAAATAAAACTAATAAATAATTAATAAAACATTAATAAAAATAATTATAAAAATTAATTGTGTTATTTTTACCATTATTAATACTAAAAGTATAACTTTTAATTTAAAAAATTCATATGGAAATTGGGGATGACGAAAAACCCATCAAAATTAAAAATGAATACCTTAAAATTAACTATAATAAAAATTGCAACACAAAATTATATGTAATGTGATAATGTTAGTAATGGTAATTTTGGGAACAAAAAGGGAGAAAATATCATTTTTGACAAATAACCCAGCGGTTCTTAAATTTGTATGAGAATTTTAAAGAGAGTATCAGGGTGCAAAATATTTTTTATTTAATGTTTACAAAGAGAGGCGGACAACGAAAAATAAATAAAATATTTAAACAAAATTAAATAATATAACAAATATCATGGACAGTATTGGAACACATACATTAATGTTAATTGGAAATTAATGTAATACACTAAGACACCCACCTTTTAATGTTGGCTATAAAAAGGAGAAATACTTGCTCTCCACACATAGATAAAATTAAGTTAATTTATAATAAAAAAGAATTAATAAAACAGCTCATTACATAAATATAATATTAATAAAAGAAACTCGTATATTAGCTATTGATGGTCAACATTAAAAAAAAAAAAATTAAACATTTGCACTCTTCTTGGACAATGACAGAAGGAAGAGCCAACACAAATATAATGGCAATTTAAAATTGATAATGGTCAGTTTTTTTGGGAGTGATCAATAATACAGATAAATAATTTGATTGTAATTGTATTTATTTTCCTCCCTTGTCACCTTATCTAGTGGTCAGTGGCAGAAATAATAAGTTGTTGACTCCCCTGTGTTAAATAAGGCTCATTTGCATGATATAAAAAAAAACAGATGTATAGACATGACAAAAACTATAAATAGTCCACTTTCAAATTTTTACAAAGTCAAACAAAAATTTTAAATTAATGTTAAAATATTTTACCTTCTAAGTCTTCTTTTTTGCGTTTTCGGAAATTATTTTCTGAGATTAATGAATCTTCTGAACCTCGTTTTTTATTATGAGTCAAAGTCATTATGTATCACTTAAAAATATACTCTGAAAAATATAAATTATCTTAAGTACATGAAAAATAAATAAATACAAAAAAAAAATTTATTTAAAAAGGTATACAATAAAAATTTAAGTCTTACTTTTAAATCACAAGTAAATTCAAAATTTATTAATGTCTTATTAAGACAAGGCATATAATTTTAATTGATTTTATTGCAAAATTATCAATTTTTTACATGTACAATAATGATTTCAAAATATATAAGGGGTATATATCATATATAATTTATCTAGATTAGATAATTAAATCAGATTTTACTTTCAATTGTATTTACCTTCAAATACTGACATATACACTGTAAAAATTCAATCATATAAATTATACAAATTTGTGAAAACATTGCTGTTCAAAGATAAGAAAATGTTTTTTGGAAATTTTTAAGCAGGTCTTATTCTTTCATTAAAACAACAAATTGATACTACTATTCAACTAAAATGTTTATAAAATAAACTAAGGATATATACAGCTTAAATAAAATTCTTTTAATTAATTAATGATCTTTTTTAGCATTAAAATTTTACAAATTAACATCGTTAATTTTTTTTATTACAATATTTGTATAAGAAATTAGTCTTTCAAACAAAATAAAAAGATTTTGGATTCCTAAATTATAGTATTATTAATAGTGATTATTAAGGGAAAATGTTTCTTAAAATCCAAAAAAATGATAAACTGTTTATAGATTTTAATTAGATGTTTTTTATTACATTTGTTAAACTTTATTGCTAAATTTCTACATACTTAAATATAAAAAAAATGTATACATAATACATCTATTTAGATTTTTACAACATACATATTTTTTCATATCACATAAAAAAAATTGTTAAAAATAATATATTAAAATAAATAAAAAGAAAGTACTTCAACATCTTCATTAAAAACTTAATTAGAAAACTTATTACCAGTGGCATTTCAATTTAAGAGCAATATCTTGTAAAAATAATAAATGATTAGCATATAATTTTAAATTATTATCCAAGTCTATCCATTTAACTCCTACTGCATCATCTCCAGCATGTAGTTTCAATGCACTAACATGATCTCCTTTTTCATCATGAAAAAGTGTTGCAACAGTTTCTATCCAAGCATTATCTGTATTTCTTGGATCATCAACATAACCTTTATATATCTCAATTCCATCTTTAAAAATATTTTCTACTTCTAATTCAACTTTAGTAGCATCACTTTTTGATTTTTCTAGCAAATTCATTGTTTCTTCCATAAATTCTCTTTTAAGAGTTGTACTAACAATTTCACCACAATCCACCATACCACCAGGTAATGCCCATTCACCTGAATCTTTTCTTTTTATAGCTACAAATTGTAAAATAGGTTTACCAGTATCAATGTGTACTTCATTTTCTGAATGATTTTTTTTCCAACGAGTAACAATTGGATCAGCTGCATGATTTGGTCCCCAACGACCTAATAAACCTCGTCCAACTAGACCTGTTCGGCCATATGGATTCAATGGAAAATTGTTTTTTATCATATAATTTCCAGTAAAGCTGATCCTATTAATATTACCATCAATATTATTCCATACTGGTTTAAATTTAGACTCATTGAGATCTAAATCTGCCCATTTCTGGTTTAAAACAGATAATGCAGTATAAAAAATAGGTTTATAGGTCAAATAGTCATTAAACCATGAAACTTTATTATCAGGTACAGGAAATCTTATTATTTTGCCATCAGTTTTAGGATACGCATTGTTTCTACATTTCATATGAAGCATTATTTTGCTTGTCATAAACACAAGTATTCTATTAACAATAAAATAATGTTATGTTTCTATTAAATAAATGTAAAGGTTCATTAATAAACAATATAATTTTCAATTGATATACAAACTTTCAATAAAATTTAATTTTTGGGACTAAATCCACTTTACATAAGTTTATTTCCTTTTATTATATATAATTTAGAAAATAAGTACTAGGATTTGATTTAATACAGCAATCAATCTAACATAATTTTTTGCAACTCTAAAATTATTTACTGGTTTTAATTGATAAATAGAAAAGATAGTAAATAGTAATGCATATCAATAACTAACCTTAAATAATGAAAATATTGTTTTTTATAATATTCAATGTATCATATAATAATGGTGAACCTGAACTAAATATTAATAAATATTTAATTAAAATAAAATATTAATTATTATCAAGCAATTTAACTAATATCATTGCTAAATCAATTAACCTAAAATCATAATAAACTTAATTATAAATGTATAACACATAAACTATTTAAAAAAGTTAATATAATATCGAGTAAATGTAATTTATTATGAGTTGAATATTTTTAGCTAATTCAATAAAACAATTTAACGATTATTTTTTAAACTTATAGTGTATATACTAAGGTTCATTAATACATTTTACTTACATTATATCATTTATTTTTAAATATTGGAAAATAGACAATTTTCATTTATTACTGTTATTTTAATTGCACAACACATTACACATTTTGGCGGCATCAATTTGTAAAACAAAAAATAAAAAATAATATTTCATAACCCAATCAATGTAACGTAAAAAATATCAATAATAACGAGTTATCTTATCACATAATACTGGTTTTGTTTGATAAGAAATTCAAAAACATTAACACATTTTATTGAAACGTATTTATATTACAATCCAAGATCATATCAAATTATAGGTGAAAAATCTTGCATCTGTAAGCATATATTTCAAGTGACAAAATGTTGAGTATTTATTAAAAAATTATATTTTATGAAGGAGAAGATAAAAATAAAGAGCAAAAATGGGCTTTAGTAGTTTTTAATCCGTCAATGATACAAACAATTATGTTCATATATATTAATATATTTTCGTACGTTGGTAGTACCTCGACGTAGACACAAAAAGTAGTAAACAAATTAACTAATGTTTTTTGACGATGAGTTCGTCGTTTTTAGCTTTTCTCGAGTCCTCCCGTTGGATACACTGGTCAGCCCCAAACCCTCAAATTAGTGAACTATTAAAGGGGTAGAATTTAGACCAGTCACACGGTCTAGCTCAAAAGTAGCAGACTGAAGGGTGGCTTCTCTTAAGCCACCAACATAACTACCTTTTCATTATAACTACTAAAGAACGGTTAAGCCCAAACACTAATTATTTAGATCGATTAAAGCAGCAGTCCATCCTCGACTCTTGCTGCACACACACACACACAATTTTATCAGCACGATGGATAAAAAATACTTACACTAAATGTAGCTTTTTAAATAGTTATTTTATTTAAGAAACATAATAAACACAAAGCCAAAATTTAATATAAAAATTGTAACAAAATAAATTAAATCGTATAAAATACAAAGTTACTCGCATCAAACGTCCTGACCCGTAACTCGACGTTTCTTCGTCAAAACGTCCAGTCCCCCTATACTTTTCATGTTTCCCTTTTATATTCTTTTTCCTACCATTATTAATTTGCTTTTCCCGCATTTCCCTTTTATATGACATTATTATATTGCTTAAGGATTCAAAAATTGCTTACTACTGTTGTAAATTTTATATTATACTAAAATCGACGTTATTGAATACTTCCTCAGCTATTTACTACAATATGTATATTATGAGCATTCTCAAGGAGAAGTTATGGGAGATAGAATCCCCATGATGAAAACAAATATATTTTGGAGGGGTTAAAAAATAATTTCTCGTGTATATCCCTTCCCCAACAAAAATATTTGTAAACGTTTCTGACATATACAAAATGATTCAATTATCATAAACTATTTAATTAGTCGAAAAATAAAAATAATTGAGAATTTTTATGGTTTTTATTAAGTACATATTTATCTCAATTCATCAATCATAAAGTATATTTTATCTTTATACCTTATAAGGCTCAACTTTATTTTTCAAATGACAACATACATAATTAATTAGTTTATTTGATAAATTATATAATGATATATTTAAGAAAATAACAATGACGATCAAATAATTTTGCCATGGGAGGAAGCTTAAAGAATAATCAGCAATTCCTTATGCAAGAGCTTTTTTATTTATGTTAATTATATGATGGTATTACTGATAATTATTAAATTTACATAGATAGTTTTTTTTTATTGTAATAAGAGGCTGTTGAGAAATACTAACCTAATAAACCCGTTGAATTTACTCAAATGTTCAATACGTAACTGTAATTATTTGGTAAAATAGGAGCCTTCTATCTTACCATTTGGTAACTTATTCTTTTTTAAATCATACATTATATTAAACAGACTTTAATTAGAAATAATTTAGAATAATTTATTCTGTTACTATACAAAAAATTACAAAAGTGCTCATTATTACTTAAAATTATATGATATTTGATTTTAATAGCCAATAGTTCATGGAAATCAAGACTTCGGATAGCTTTTCTTTTTTATCTTAAAGTAAATTGTACTAATTTTAATTTAATTTAAGATAAAAGATGTGAAGTTTTTAATTAAATTTTAAAAAATTGAAAAGAAAATTATTGGATTTTAAAAAAACGTATATTTTTGGCAAGGCAAAGTTTGAAGTATTTTAATAAAATATTTGAAATAATTTGCCTAGTTTTCAAAAAGGTATTTCAATACTAAGTGAACACTAGAAATATCAATATTGACATTTTTAAAACAATTTTTATTTTTCTTTATTAACTCTCCTATTGCTCTTTTGTCATACTTTGAATTGTTTTTTCTTACTTTCTGTTATATCCATTTTAAAATTTTATTTCAAATATTTCATTGAATTAATTCAAATATTATTTTATAAAATAATATTTGAAATAATCATCCCAGTAAATCTTTATTTAAATAAACAATATTAGTTTCGTATTCTTACTTTCTATGATTTTTTGAACGTCCTTATCCCATCACCAGGTTTCCTTGTTTCCTGGCATTCTACTCCTACACTTACCAACAAACTCCTTTGCAGTATTCTTTACATAAAGCAAATCTATTTCACACATCATTTATGTCTCCCGCGACATTCCACACCGTCCTCTCTTTTACCTTCTTTATAAACTCTTTTTCATTTTCCCCTTTCAATTTCTACCACCGGATTTTCCTCCATGTTCCTTCTATTTTTGTATATTCTCTTTCTGGTACACCACAACTCCATTACCATCAGTCTATGTTGTGTAGTTACACTCTCACCTGGTATAACTTTAAATCTTTTACTCGCTTAACGTCTTGCTCTTCCATATAAAATAATCGATCTGTGATCTATTCCTCCCACTCTTATAAGTTATATAATGTTCTATCCTCTTTCTAAAATAAGTATTAACCACAGCAAGATCATACGATACTGCGAAATCTAGGATTCTTTCTCCAGTCTCATTCTTTCTACTAAAACCATACCCTCCATGTACTCTTTCATATCCTCTCCACATGTCCATTTATATCTTCACCTATCATCGCATCCTCATTGCCTAAGTACTCCTTGTATCACCTCATCCATCTCTCTCCAAAAACACTTCTTTGTCTATTTCATCACATCCCACTTGTGGTGCATATGCACTTATTACATTCAGCACTTTTTCCTCGAATATCAATTTCACGACTATAATTCTGTCACTTTTCCTAACTACTTCTACTATTTTACTTTTCATATTCTCATCAATTATTATCTCTAAACCATTCTTTGTACTAGACTTACCTGAGTATATTATTTTATAACCCTTACCTATTCCCTTAATTTCTCTCCTTTCCACTTAATTTCCTGCACACAACAAATGTTAACTTTTCTCCTCTTCAATACTTCTACCAGTTAATGTTCCAACATTCCAAATACCTATTTTTACTTTGAATCTATCTTTCTCCCTTATACACGAGTCCAGCCTAAAGTTAAGTGGTGATATCCCTACACCGTTAACACTACATGAGTTGGGTAGATCTGTACACATGACTGGTGAAACAGCTACTGCATAAGTTTTCCGGCTGGTATCAAACACTCTATTCCTTAGGCCTTCTCCTTTTTTAACTACTTAATTCCTTCTCACCTGTTGTCCCCGCGTACATCCGAGATGGGACAATTCGCCTAAGTTATGTTCAGGACACGTCATACTATTTGACAAATTTACGCCGGTTATCGACCAAATAGTAAACGATTATAACAATATTTTATGTTAATTATTTATATTGTTACGATATTCATCTACTCTATCTAATTTGATAATTTTATTCATTGATTTTGCGAATTATCCATATTTGGAGTAAATTTTATCCGGAGAAATTAATTAATTGTTCTATTCGTAGTAACTAATGTCGAAGTAAAATCCAAATTTTTGTAACCAAGTATTCGCAGTAAGAGGACGATGTGGCTGAGTCGGTAACGCGGCAGTGCTTGGCGTGCACAGCCTCGGGTTCGAAACTCGGTCACGGGCGACTTCATTTGCCGAACGATCTGTTCCCCATCCCAGAGTATAAATGGTTAAGAAAACCTCCTCCTTTGGGAGAGAACGCTATGGCCCTTAATTGAGCCGATAAAAGCACTAAAAAAAAAGCGTATAATAATCAATTATGTTTGTTCTGTATGGATGTTAAAAACTTTTCTTTATCACTTATCTGTTTTTCGTATGAAATTGTATTATCAATACTATTATCTTTAATCTAGAAATTATAAAATTATATTTTTACTAAAGGTTTGAGATGATTAGTTTAACAGTAATTAAACACAACTAGTTACATTTGCTGTTACTAATATAATTAATAAATTAATTTAAAGTACATCACAAATATGGACGTATTAAATAAATTTCGTTCTACGGTCACAAGTACCATGTCACAGCTTTCTACAGTTCTTCCTGGTAATCCAGTCACAAGAGAATATGAAGCAACAAATCACATAGCCAGTGCTGGTGGTGGTGTGTATGAATTAAATATATAATTTGAAATTAATATTACTTAGATTTTGTTTGTTTCAAGTAGGATTACTATGGAAGATTTATAGTGGATATAAAAAATCAACCCAACAACCTGCATCTATATTTGTGTTAGAAAAACGGCAATTAGAAAAATGGTCTAAAAATGAAAGGGAGCATATTATTGAATTTATAAAAAAGGGTATTGCTCAGTTAACTAGACTTAGACATCCTCAAATATTAACTGTTCAACATACATTAGAAGAGTCTAGGTATGAAATTATAATTTGTATAAAATATATTGTTTAGCTAATATTTTTTTACCTTAAAGAGAAAGTTTGGCATTTGCGACAGAACCTGTGTTTTGTAGTTTAGCTAATATACTTGGTAAATTAGAAAATACTCCACAACCAATACCAAAAGATTTACAAGACTACAACCTATATGACATTGATATAAAATATGGTTTAATGCAACTTGGCCAAGGCCTTGTGTTTTTACACAATGATGCCAAATTACTTCATCATAATATTTGCCCAGAGAATGTTATTATAAATCAACAAGGAGCTTGGAAAATTTTTGGATTTGACTTTTCTTTACAATGTGTTAATCCAGCAGATCCTTCAGTATGCTTACATGAAATAAAAAATAAAGTGAAATATTAATTACATTATGGTATATGTTTTTTGTTTAATGTTATAGCCTATGTGGCCTAATTGGGAATATAAAATGGATATTCATCCTTGGGCACAACCAAATCTTGATTACTTAGCTCCAGAATCCAGCTGTGGTCAAAATCAAAACAAATCTAATGATATGTTTTCTTTAGGAATGTTAATTTATTCAATATATAATAAGGGAAATACACCTTTACAATCAAATCATGAATGGTCCATGTACAAACGTAACATAAATGAAGTAAGTTATTAGTTAAAATAAGCTAAAATGATTTTTTTTTCTAACAAATATGTATGAACTACGTTAGTTTAAAAATACTACACCCAAGTTATCTTGTGTAGCAGATGGACTAAAAGAACCAGTGAGAAATTTATTGAAGTATGAACCTAAACATAGACTCGATGAGCATGAATTTTTAAAAGTAAATAATAAATATTATATATAATAATCATGCAGAATTTAAAAAAAAAGAATAAATTTTTTATGAAGATTTTAAAAAAAAATATATGTTTTATATCTGAGTATAAAAATTGAATTAAGGCAATGGTGGTTAATAATTGATTTTTGATAATTAATTTTATCAAAAGTTTGTTTAAAACCAGTTTCTTTTTCAATTTGATGTAGTTTTTTATTATGTAATATATAATTAGTGTTTTTGCTAATTTAAATTATATTTTTATTTTATAGATAGATTTTTTTAATGACGTTGGAGTAAAAACATTAAGTTATTTAGACTCACTTTTTCAATGGGATAATTTACAAAAATCTCAATTTTATAAAGGATTACCCCAAATAATGGAAAAAATGCCTCATAGAATATGTGTTCATAGGTACTAACTGAAACAATCACTGTTAAAAAAATTTGATAATATAAATATTTTTAGAATACTTCCATGCCTTATGAAAGAGTGTGTGAATCCTATTATGATACCATTTGTTTTACCTAATATTTTTTATGTTTGCGAAAATTGTTCAAAAGAAGAATTTATTAATCATGTGTTACCAAGCTTAAAACCTATTTTAAAGGTTCATGAACCAATTCAAGTAAGTTCTTCATTAATTTTGTTTATATTGTCATTATTACATTTTTATTTAATAACATAAGAATATAATTTTAGATTCCTTTTATATTTCTTCAAAAAATGGAACTTCTCTTAAAACTAGCTCCATCTGAAGATATAAAGTCTGATATATTACCAATGTTGTACAAATCTCTTGAGTTAGATTCAAAACCTGTCCAAGAAACTTGTCTCTCTGTAATACCATCCTTAGCAGCTCTCGTAGAAGGACCTGCTATGAAAAATTCATTATTACCAAGAATAAAGAAACTTTGTTTATCGTCATCAGATCTTTCTGTAAGTATTTTTAATTTGTAAAACTCTATGAATTGAATTTTTTAAAATTATTTATTATTAATTATTTTATTTAATAATTTCATTATTTTTTATCTATATTTAAATACTATAAATCATTTAATTTATAGGAATATAAAAATTTGAATAACTATGTTATTGAAAAAGTTTCTTATTAAATTTAAATAATTTTCTATAAATCAATTTATTTATGTAAAATAATATGTTTGATTATATTTTACTATAATTTTGATGACTTTGAAGATATTTAATAAAAAATCTAACAATATAGCATTGTTTTGATTGAGTTATTAAAAATATAGAATTATTTTTAAGTAGATCTAGAATAACAAGTGTAGAGTAAATTTAAAAATAAATTCTCATTAATACTAAAACAATATAATGAAAAATAATAGTTTTGTAAAAAAATTTAGTTCTAATTGTTAGATGTTTTTTAAAAATGTAAATGGTGTACAATAATAATTATTGCATTTAGGAAAGAAGTTTCAACATCTTTTTACTATTATCTCTTATGTACTTTTAAAATCCCTTACACTGTTTTCTTTTAATGTTTTTACATTAAGATAAAATTTATATCATCTTAAACTTACAGGTACGTGTCAAGTGTCTTGTTTGCACTGGAAAATTGGTTCAATATTTAGATAACTGGATAGTATTAGATGACATAATTCCATTTTTACCACAAATACCATCAAAAGATCCTGCTGTGATTATGGGTATATTAGGTAATTATTATTTTTCTTTAAAATTACATTTTTTAAAGGTACATTGTTTGTAACTAAATTTTTATTATAATAAGTGTAAAATAGTAAACAGCATTAATCAGTATTTTTTCATATAAATGTTATATACTTGTAAAAATTGTTCAAATATTTTACCTATTAAAAAAGTAAAGTTTATAGAATGAAAATTATTATAAAAATACATAAATAATTTAAAAATAAAATAAACAAATTTACAATTCTACTAAAAATTACAACAAATAATTACAATTAATACTTAAAAATATTGAAAAATTAGCGTTGCAGCACTAATTTAAAAATGTTTCGGAATGTCTGCATTCTTCAAATTGATATCTATTTAAAGCATTTGAAGTATACTATAATAATATAAAAAAAAATTTCTTTTACAATAGTTCTTTTTTTTTTTTAAATTTTTATACATATTTTATAATTAAACAAATAATATAACTAATTCTTAACATTTGAATGAAATTTTAAAACATAGAAATTATGAAATTACAAATTTACAATTATTTATCAGTTTTGCATCAAAGCGTTTTTTTATGATAGTTGTATGTTAATTATTGTTAGATATCATTAATACTTGTCACAACTATGTCAAGACCTTACTGTGCTGGTTTTTAAAATTTTAGTATTATATAAATATATGATGAGAGGTTAATTTGTTTTGACGTAGTAGTGTTATTTCCAATAAATATAACAATTGGTTTTCTTAACGATTGGCTAAAGGAATAAAACATAGAACAGGATAAAATAAATGAGCTTATTAATTTAACAAAGTTATGTATGGGTCAAAATGTTATTCAGTTTCAAAATAAATTTTATGAGCAAGCTGAGAGCACAGTAATGGGAAATTCGCTATCACCATTTTTAGCAAAACTTTTCATGAGTAGTTTCGAAACAAATTTAAAACACATTTATGATGATTTTTCAAAAATTTGGACTAGGTATGTAGATGATATTTTTACAGCAATAAATAAAGATTTTAATAATATGGTTTACAGATTAGTCAATATTCGGATGAATAAAATAGATTTTGATAAATAATTGGGAGTTATAAGAGAAACAGCTAGATTTAATGGATATAACTAAAATGCAATTTCAAAATTAGTCCGAACACAAGGGGTCTTATTGACTTATTGTTATCTAGAGAATTTTTTTATAGATATACAGATTTTTTTGTTAAATATTGTTTTAGTATCACAACATTCAGCTTATATTTTTTTCAGTTCCATTTTATTATTAATTTAAAATTTACTCAATCATTTTTTATTTTATAAATTAGGAGTATATAGAATCATACTGTCTGACAAAAAAATTCATATAACTAAAGAAACAATGGCTCAAAGCATGTTACCATTTTTAATACCAATGTGTATAGAAAATACATTAACTATAAACCAATTTAATTCATTAATAACTATTGTAAGAGAAATGATAACTAATGTTGAAACAGAACATCGAGCAAAATTACAACAATTGTATGATCAAAAAAGGTTTGTTATTTAGTAATTTATTTCTTCAATAATAATTCAATTTTAATGTGTTTTGAACATTGGTATTTATTTTCATAGAACAATATCTAATGATATAATCTTGGAAAATGGAAATATAAATGGTGATTTTCAGTTTGAGACATATGCTGAAAATTTATCCACTAGAATTCCTGGCTTAAATGAATTTACAAATATTTCTTCTCAAAATCTTACCAAACCCAAGTAAAATAAATTTTGTGTAACCATTGATATATTATAATATTTTAGTATTTGCATTTGATTTTTAAACATTTTTCTTGTAGGTCAATAAAGTCGTATGATCTTTATCAAACAGTCCAGCAAGATCTGAACCCTATCCAAAGTAATCTATGTAAAGCCAAAATGCCAACACCTAAAGATCTTACATCAACTTTAATTGATTCAAATTTAAGCCAAATAAGTTTTAATAATCATACAAACTCTACCACATCATCTTTATCACAAATGAAAATTTCAAGTTCTCAAAGTAAACCCATGTCTTTACAAAGCTCCACTAATGATTGGAATGATTTATGGATAAAACAAGAAGAAAACCAACATCAAGTTAAACAACTTTCTTTATCAGATATTAATGATTTATTAAGTTAATAGCTATTATTGACATTTATTATCTCGTTTTAATTTCTATGATTCTATGTGTATAAAAAAATATATTAGGTTATTATGATGTTTTAACTTATTATTTTGATATTTTTATATGTAAAAATGTTAAATTAAAATTTTTTTGTTGAAGAAATATTCTGTGTTTATTTTATAACCCAGTTTATAATGTGATTCATCAATTTTTCTTTATATTTGTATTAAAAACTAATTCTGTCATTTTTAATTTTAAACTAGCAATAATTACTCTTTATTACATTTGTGTACTTTAAAATCTAATTTTATTATTACATTGCTTAAATATTTGATATTTATGTTTCTTATTACATATTAAACTTATTTTAAGCTACATAAAAGACTTTAGTATACAGTTAATGTCTATTTGAATATTATAAAATTAAGAAATTTAATGAATTTTTTTTTTAATAATTATATATTTTAAAAATGCTAGTCTAATTATACTAATTAAGTGTGTTAACTATAATAATTTATTTACTAGTATTATTTTCATTTGAATTATTGTATTATCCAATAATATAATAAAAATTCTTGTTGTAACTTTCATTTCAAGTGTATATATTGCTTCATTAAATAAATAATTAAATAATACCACAAAATGGAATTAATACATATTTATAATTAGAGTCGGATTTATAAAAATTTATACATTTTGTATTAAATATTTATAGACACACATGTGTGTATAGTATGTATACTTACACTGTATTTAATATTTAGTATAACACATGAGAAGTAAAATAATTATGCATTTCAAAAAGTTTTAATTAATAAAAAGTAAAAAAAAAATTTTTATTCTTCTTTTATGGGTATTATTGTAAGCCATATTAATCTCCATAATAATCTTTAAATATTATTTTGATTTACACCTGATTATATAACTATTTTCAAACTGAATAAAAAAAAAAAATTTTTTTATTTGGATGAGTTCGGAGTAAAGTTTTTTTTTTTTTAAATACATTTTAGAATGTTCTATTATTTTTAATTTGTAAGTGAGGTTACTATATTTTTTTAATCAGTAAAGATGCTTTTTCATGATTATTTTTTAGAGTATTCATTCTTTGATCTTTGAGCTAACGTTCCGATTTTATTGCGAGAGTTCATCACCATTTTCAATGAAATTGTACTCCAATCTAGGAGCTATAACAAAAGCGAGACAATTTTCCCCTGAAAATTCTGAAGTTAGCACGTGCAATAGATTCACATTTAAGTAAAAGGTGAACATGCAGTAATGTCTCAGCTGATTAGCCTGAAAATAACACCACGTCGCCTTTATATTTACAAATAAATGTTGTAGTACGAGAGAGGGAAGCTCGACGATAGTTTTAAGGACCGTGAATGTACGGGGCAAGAAGAGGAGAAGAAAAAATAATGTTGGCACTAGTTGGGACGGCGACGTCGCTCTTTAAGGGTGGGCGAAACAAACAGAGGCGACGTGACGCGACCACGGTCGAGACACTGAATGCCTACAGTGAACAGTTCGACACATACCGGCGGCTTTGCCGTACTACTGTGGCTAGTTATTTCACGAGTGTTCGGTTGTCTGCGAGAGTTACATACGTTACGAATTTTCAACGATGATTTTTTGACAAAATATTCATTAGTGTTTTTATTACTATTAAGTTTACTGAGCAAATTCCTAAAGAATAGTTAAAATAGAATTTCCGGTATACTTTTCAAACAGGTAACTAATTATACATTTTTTCTAAGATTTAAAATTATATTTGAACTTTTAATTTAAAAATTATCTTTTATTATACGATTTGAAGTCGTTTATTTTAATTACAATTTTGTTATCAATTAACTTGTAACATTATATTAATTAACTTATCGACAAGCCGGAACTGATAACTTAATTTCATAAACCATTAAATAATTTATGAATTTGTAATTAACACTGAACTAATATTAATCATTTTAATTATAAAAAAATTCAAGTCTGAGAACTGTGTACAATTGACTCGTCACAGATATTATTGTAACTGTTATAATTTTCATCATATGAGTTGGATGATTATGTTTATTAATTTATTAAAGTGAACAACTATACTAGGTTGGATAGGTACAATTACACATTTAATCTTTGAGAAACTAAAATGTATCACCTGATGTAAGAACCTCTAACTAACATCATATTTATATGATACTATCTACTAGTACTTGTACTATAGTATCTTAGTATCTTGTACTATCTAGTATGGTACCAGAAATTATTAAAAAGTTTTTTGTTGTTGACAATTATTATTTGTAATAAATGTATAGTATTGAAAATTTTTCAAGTTTTTGCTACTCGTGACAAATATTTAAGAATTTATCAGTTGATTTATGTTTCATACTTTTGTTTATTTAATTTATTTCTAAGAAAACTCTTAGCTGTCATAAAATAAAATTTAATTACAATCGTAGGAGCGACTTTATCTGGATTGGGTCTATTTTTCTTTTAAAAGGATTATTGTGAGCAAATAATAAATGGGGATAAAAATTGTTTTGAATGTATTATTTTACAATACGTACTATAAGTTTAGGGGCACCGGTCCCTCTAAAAGTTGCCACTGTATTATTGTATAAGTCAATAATAATAATTAATGATTTACAATAATTGGGTTTATTCATAAAATGATGCTTGTTTCTCGTAGCGATTTCAATATTTTTAACTGCATAAACATATTAACATACGTGTTGTCTCAAAAAATATTAACTATTAATATTTCATGGTAAGGTTTGTACAGTGTTACTTATCATAATCTGAGAAATTTTAACCGTATTAAACAACCAATTAAGGTAGAACTTAATGTTGTGATTATTAAAAAAATATATTTTTTTAAAAGTACCACCTCTTGGTATTTTCTAATAATCATCATGTAAAATGTATATATTTTATTGGGAAATATTTTGCATTGTTAGTATCTATGTACTATAAGAATATCAGTGTAGTTGGATTTATTTCTAACCATTTAAATTTACTATTCATATTCGATTTGGCTACATGTTAACTATTTGGCTAAGCATAAAGAATATTATCCTTAATAAATCTCATTCCCTGTCGAGTGCAATACATTTTTGGTGCCCATGAAGTAATTACATTGATTTCGTTTTCTTGAAATGATATTGACAAAGGATTATTTCTCTGTGTATGTTTTACACACGTATTTTACAGCACTGCTAGATATTCAAATATCATATCATAACTTTTTACATGGATGAGTATGTCCAGAGGGCTTTCAAAATCGCAGGGGTGTCGGCGATAATTACAAGGGTGTCAGTGGTATATAATAATATTCGTTTTGTGTATACTATTTTGAGTTGTCCTCCCCCTCTTTTTGGATTTTTAATGTTTTTATTATGGTTATTAAAATGTCTACACCAGTCGTGTGACGCACTGACACATGCTCGACGATAATACGTTTTCATCTTTTGTTTCTACAAGTTTATTCCAATCAATAGGGTTACATTTTAATTGACAATAAATAAAAAGATAGTATCGCTTCTTGATTTGTTTTCTTTCTTCTTATTCTGTTTTGATGTAATTGCGTGAGTAATGCCAATGAGAATAAATTAGGATTAAATTTTGTTCTTCCATGCTATAATATTATCTTTTTTTAATGAAAATATACGATCTTAAGATGACTGCGATGTTTTACCATAAAAAGGGGTAAATTGCTTATAGTACAAACGTGGTGAGTNAATAAAAAGGGGTAAATTGCGTATAGTACAAACGTGGTGAGTAGAAATCTCTGTAGTGGGCGACAAGTTTTAATTATCTCTTAACGTCCACTCGTAGTGCAATTTGCTCGCATACGTTTTATGTCAGTCTATATTAAGCACGCAACACTGAGCACATTCGTTTGTGGACACCCTAAACTAAACTAAATCCGCATCTTCAACGCCACGAAATGAAGTCTTTTGGATAATGAAACAAAAATGAGAATTTCAATACTTATCGAAGAGATTTTGTCATCAAAAAGTTATTAGAATATATTTAAATTCTATTATGGTGCCTGATTATGATGTAGAAACCTGTTTTAAAGTTCGCCCACCCTAAAAAATAAATAAAGCCGTTTAGTTAAGTTACTAGGCAAAATAGTATTTTATCATTTTTTTTTTTTTATAACGTTTAATTGGTTTTGATAGTTGATAATTTTTTTCTATTAATTGTTAGTAATAATAGCGATTACTAGTGCAAAGAAAAATGTTGAGTGTATTCAAAAAGTTTTTGTACAAAAAAAAAGGAAATCTATTTTGATACGAAATTAGCAATATAGAAACATTGTATCTAAATGGCTAAGGTAATCAAACTTTTGGTAAACACAAACATAACAATAGTTAAATTAGCCATATGTTTTTCTTATATATTCTTATAATTTTCATTTCTTACGTTAAAGTCGAGTAGGAGAAATAATTTTACAAAAACATTTTATAAACATAAAATTTACAAAATACTTCTTTTTATTTCAATCTTAATCAATTGATTTCAAGGGCGTAGGTAGAAACGGGATTAGAGGTTTTCCTATTACAAAAGTTTTCCGCTCGTAATTAAATTATATTTTAAAAAAATAGATGGAAATCATGAATTTAAACACCTTACATGAATAATATATTTATAATATACTTGTAAATTATTATAAACTTAATATTTTGGTTGTTAATATTGTACTAATAATACATATTTTCAGATATAATATAATGTTTATGATATGAAGTAAAGTGTTTTCATAGTTTATAATTTATTTTTAAAAATATTGACTTTCCCACGGCGATAGAAAGAACCCTTGAATTTTGTATTATTAAGTTTTTAGTTGTTGTTTCCCTTGAGTAATGAATTATATAAAACATACTTATAAGTCACAAGGCCTATGAACTAGAAGGGTGTTGAAGTTAAGAGTATAACATATTTATATTATTATTTTTAAATATAGAACAAAAACGTTAAAACCGCAGAGGGCGTTAAGTGGATGTTTAATTGTTTTTAATAACAACCGCTTTTGGATCGTTATGAACTCGATGTAAAACTCAATATTCACTCTAAAAAAGTGTTTTTAACCAATCTGATCAACGGAAGAATTTAGTTACTGATGATAGTTTTTATATAGTTGTTTGCATTATATTTTACTTCTAACATTACATAAACCATCAGATGTACATACGCGTGCCAGTTTGAACTGATGTGATACCATATAAAATGTATATTTCCTGTTGGTCGGCGAACTTTTTCGTTGACTGGTGTATTTTATTTTTAGTGCAGGGGCCAGTAACCCTTCTTGTCTCTGACATCTTCGGTCTCAAATTAGACGAAATCGTAGTAATGTTCAGTATTTCTCCCGGATCCAGGAAATTTCATCAAACACATTTATTACAGTCACTTAACCATTTTACTTTTACTCATAACGACAATCCATACTAGACTCCTTGCTTTTTTATGGTGCATTTATCTACCGTTATTTCCTTCAGTGTTCAAAACCACAAAAGAACATAACACCAAAATTATTGACTAACGAATAATAGTCTAAAAAAAGACAATTTAATATTACAAAACCTATTAAATTTTTTAATGGAATAATATATTTAACTCGAATTTTTATCAATTTGTAATTCGAGTTAAAATATAATTTTAATTTGTTATAGTCTGTAATGCACATAATGTCTTAACACATATTATTTCATTTTTATTATATATTTATTTAAAACATTATTATTTTTGAAAACTAATTATTTATCTTTGACATTATTACTTAAGAATTTTTTGTTCTATTTCATATGATTAATATAAAATTTATAATAATTTTCAATATTATAAATTTAAATTTTTTATTTTCAATTAAAGCATGTTCATTTAACTATTTTATTGCTTTTACTGAGTACATTTTTGACACACTTAAATTTTTATTACATTTAGAAAATTAAATTGCAAATTGAATTTCATTAAAAAAAAACATATCGGATTAGTCAAAAAACCACATAAAAAAAAGTTTTGTTCGAAAAATGATAAAAATAATGTTCGTTTTAAGTTCGATAGTATAATTGCAATTATGGTTTAGCTTGGGTTTGATTAAAAAGTTCAGGTCGATTTAAAAATTGGAGTATTTAATATCACCACTATTCTTATACCAACATAGCTTAAAAAGATTTGATATATTTTGTTTTATATAAACAATAAATAAAAAATATAAGCTAATTAAGTATCATTTTTTTTGATTTATAACTTTTAAATATATAAAATACATTTTTAATATTTCAGAATTTACTAGTATTGATTCTAAGTTATAAAATTTCATGAAACAGTAGAAAACATACGACATTTTATTAGAAAAATGAACTAAAATTTTTTTGCAATAAATATCATTTATAATTAAAATAACCAGAACTAAGAAAATAAGCCATTCTCCTTATTCATCAATAAATCTAAATAACCAATAAAGTATTAGAATAAAATATAAATGTAGTCAATAAATAGATAAAAATAAGTTTGAAAAATATGTTTTAATTTACATTTAACACTAAACGATATAAATTCATTAATAAATGTTTGTTTTAATATAATCAGACACTTTTTAATTGTATTGTATTTAATTGTATTCTTTTTCACATTTAATATATTTTTATTATGGTATTATTTTTAATTGATTAACTACATTTATTTTTATATTATCATTATTTTTTAAATATATTTTAAATTACTTTTCGACTTGTTATGCAAACATATGCATTGATTTAATATGTAAATATGAATCTACTTCAGTATTTTCTTTTTATACGAAAAGTTTTTAAATTTGAGATAGAATTGGGGTTCATAGTCGATTTGTGTAAACATCACTTTTAGTACAATTTAATTAAGCCATTGCTTCTTTTTATGTGAAATATCAATTTAAATTTTTTTGTGAATGGAACGTCGTTTTAATCAAACTAAATCGAATAAATACTCGGTTTTTTTTTTTTTTTTACTGGCCTTAAATCTCAATCTCAAACATGAATTGTTTGAACCAATAGCAATTTGTTTCAATAAAAAATGTCATGCTATTTGTTCTTTAAAAACTGGATGTAATCTTCGGTTTAATATCAGTTTATATTATATTTAGTTAATTTTATATTTCTACACGTAAATTCCCATTAGGATAGTAAAAAAAAAATTTATGTAAAATCTGATTACTTATTTATTCAAAGTTAATTGGGACTAGTTAAATTCAAATTATAAATTAAAATGTTTATGTGGAACTAATTAATTTGCATTAAGTAAACTTAAAATATAAAAAGAAGTGTATATATTAAAGTACTGAAATAAAATAATGTCACGCGTGCAAATATTTAGATACGATTACATTTGTCAAAATATGCAATTGTTATTATATCTTTGCGAATAAAACTTCAATGTTTTTCTTTGATGTTTGCGAATAAAACTAGTAGAGACTTAAGATTTTACAGAAACTTAGCCTCAATACGTCTCTTCCCGTCACATGTTACTACATTAGGTTGTAATGATTCATTTCTAAAGTATCTCACTTTGCATTTATCACCGCATAGATAACAGATTTGATTTATCCGAAGAAATATTCGTTGGAATTGTTATCATTTTCTTGGACGGGAGCACGCAAATTGGCTTCCTCTCACATGATACGGTCTGTTGGCGAAATGACATGAAGTATCGGTTAAGGGTGCAGGGGGAACACGCGGGAAAAGGGCTCGCAATTAGGTTAACGTTCCACATTTTCCCCTCTCGGGAAAACCTACGGCGGTCGAGGATTCCGGCGGTGGTTAGGAAAACGCGTAATATATGACTCATCTTCTACAGCTATTCGTCCCGCGGTTGCCAATGGAGACCAAACCGCGTGCCATTTTTTCGTGCCACGAACGTCCGACATCAGCACGGAAACACCTCACGAAGCCGTACCGAGACTACGGCGGCCGGATACATGTTGAACACATATAGAGAATGTAGAGCGTCCGTTCACCCTTGTTGCTACACCCCGTAGCGCTTGCTCTCAAATGATCTAATCACCGTGGTATTTTCTTTCGTTACCACACTCCGCCGTATTAGATGTCACGTTGTTATCTATTATGCAATAGTTCATTAGAAACTGAGATTAATTAATAGCGACATATCACTTACGAATACCATGCTAGGGGGGTTAATTTATATTGTTTTTTTTTTTACAACTCAATTTATAATCATATTTAAAACATCATAATTTCATAATATTTGACAAAACCTATGATGTATATCTATTAGATTTAGCTATGTGTTGTTATGATAACGTTCTAAAAAAATAATATTATATAAATTAAAGAGTTGTTATTTATAACACTAAAAACAATTATAGTTGTTTCTAAATGAACACACACTCTATATTAACTGTATAGGGGGTGTTTATTGTATATTTTACAGATGATGCTACATATAAACCCATTAGAGTATGACAGTATACTTAATGTATTCTAAGTTTATTTTTACTTTTGTTCAAGTTTCTAAGTATTTATTATCATCCAACAGTAAGACCAAAAACTTTATTCCACCGTGCTGGCGATTTTAAAGTTTATGTAAACTTCAACAATATTTATAGTATCTTATTTGAATGTCTACAACTTTTCTGCATTCAGAAATAAATTACTCACGTGATGAATAAGAGTGGTTTACGTGAAATCCAAATAATTTGTCATTTTTGTTTTACAAACAGACCCAGTTTTTAGTTACATTCAGAACGTGAAAATGCATTTGACCACCAATATTTAGAGTAATTTGTAGAAAAAATATGATCTATAAAAAATATCGTTTAAATTAATAAAATAAAGTGTATAATTTAAAATAAATAAATAACTTTAGAATGAAGTATACACTTTACTCTTATTTAACTAAATCAGATTATTCAAATATTTTTATTTTTAATAAAATACAATCTCATTATTTTATGTGTTTTATTAAGTTTTATTTAATCTCAAAAAAACTATGCTGTTTATTAACAAATATGCTGAAATAATAAATGCTTGAATAAAATGAAAAGTTAATAACTTTTTATTTTATTCATTCGTCATACGTACCCTAGAAACATTTCTATTCATACATATTAAATTTATAAAAAAATCAGTAAAAGCGATTACCTACTCGGTTGTATTGTATTAAAAAACAGATACAAAAAAAGAAAATAATCTTCATCCTACGTTTTTGTCAATGAAGAAACAAGATTCTAGATGATACCATTTATAAGTGGCATAAGTTATACATATAATATAAGCCTATCTTCATTTTAATGAATTTGTGTGGTTTTTTAAAACTTCCACCTGTTATCTGTAAATTATATTTGAAAAATTACAGGATGCACGTTTTTATACATGAGCCTAATTGTATAAAGACATATGTGCTGTTGTTCATCTTTTGTATAGAATAAAAACATGTGTATATAAATTGTTAAGAGTATTTTATACTTTTAAAGTTGTAATAATTCTTATTTGAATACAGAAAATATGAAAGGTTATGTATAATGTAAAAGATATTAACAATTTGTCAATACAAAACTGTAGTTAAATTTTTAAAAATTAATTTTTTGTAAAATATTTATTAGCCGATTTTGAACTTAAATAATTATTTGAATAATTTAAATTTTATGATAATATAACATATATATTATTTACAAAATGTAAACATTTTCTCTATTAGTTCATAGTATTAGCTACAATTTATTGTTATAAGATTATTTGATAAAACCTAAGTAGTATAAATTTTTTGATTATTTTGCTCTTCGTACAAGGTTTAGAAAGTGATAAAACCTTGTTACTTTTATATATAAACACATTTGTATATTTTTTGTATCGTGAAAGCGTTGCCAGTACATTTAAAATATCATATGGTTCAACGGGCCTACTCATTCACACAATACACGTTATTTCATAATGGTTACATTTATGTCTAGGTATATACTTAGTATAAATATCTACTTACAGTAAAGGAAATGATATCAAATTTATCAGCTACAATGAAGGATATATTTACAGAATATTGCATCTGCAGTATGTGTCGTGCGTAGGAAATGTGATAGATGTGCTTGGGGTTAACAGGTTATAGTTTTCAATATATCATAATTGAGGAATCTTGAGGGGAATCTTAAATCAAAATGATAACTTGCAGAATATCATACAGCGCACTAACAAAAAAATGACATTGATGTAAACAAAACACTTCGTTTAATACATAGAAACAAAGAAATATTTATACTTAACTTTTATACATGCAATTCTAAAGAAATTTTTTCTTTATAACTGGTTATTATTGCAAATTAAACATAAATACATATTTTTAAATAGATCTGAAATGTTTGACATACGTTGACTTTCGTACTGTACATTTAATTAATACATATTATTTAACTTGATTATTCTTTTCGATCAGATAGGTTTGATAAATTATATACTGTTAATTGGGATTACTTGAGGCAGTGGTTAAACTTGACTCAGGTAAATATCTATTTTTATTCAAGTCGTATCAATCTACAGCCCCAGTAAAATGCTTACTAGTATTGTTAAGAAACAAAAATTATTTGTTGATAAATATTAAGTAAGGAAACCTGTAAATAATAAACTGACCCAAGTTGGCTTATCTGTCGGTAAAAAAATATATTATAGTATATTTTATTTGTAGATTCATTTGCTTGCGAATTTTTCTTAAAATTTTTTTTCAATTACACCTTAGTTTTTTTTGTTCAAAGTAGCAACTAAGAAAACCTAAAAAGTACACAAAAATAACCATGTATATGGTTGTCTCTTGTTGCTTTTTATTGCAACATTCTAGAGTGTAATAAAGAGCATGCAAGTACCATGGGAAGCTTCCGAGATCGGTAAGCTATTTTGACAAATTGTTTAACCTCTCTCAGATCATTAAACTTTAATTTTCTAGAAAAGGGTAAGGATACCCACAGACCCAGTTTTGTGTGATACTCTTGTTTTATATATTTCGGTAGAATAGTATATCTATAAAATAAGGGAAAATGTAATATGTCCACAATTTACGGTTTGAAGCGTAAAAGACACTCCGAAAACAGGAAAAAAGATTATTTTTTGCGGAAAATGGAGACGAGAGAAAAACATCAATACAGAGATTCGGATAGGAGAAAGTGTAAGGGCCAGAATTAATAAATTAGATTTACGTTGCTGACGGATAGGTTTTTTGAAGACAAAATAAATACAAAAAAAAACAATAACAAATAGTTTTACTTAGCAATTAAATAAAACATCTCGCAAGATTAATAATTGTTTTTTTGAAGCATTAAAGAAGTTAATTATAATTTTTTTGATTCATATCTAATCTAAGTATTTATTTAATTAAATTATCATTTTATTGTTATTATTATATTTAGTGTTTGTCATAAAAAATATTTAAACAGATAATTTGAATGTTAGTTAAAAACTTGATTCATTTTAAAACATCGCCGTACAAATAAATTAATAAGTTCATAATCGGAACAAAGTTTAAATTAAAATAAGATGTACAACTTAAAATAAAAGCATTGCGTGGATTAAAATAGCAGTCACTTAACTATAGTTGTTATACACATTGCTAGGCCGCAATATTACTGGGGTTTTAGCATAATTAACATCCCGTAAGCGTATTGTTATTATGACAATTACGATCACGCAAAGTTATTTAATAGTTAAAAGAGTTACAAGAACATTGTTATTCTTTAGTAGTACCTTTAGAAGTTTGGAAGTATGGTTAATTCCCTAAAGGTATTCTTTCGGTATGTCAAGACTGAAAAACAAGGGACCAAATGGATTTATTCAAATTGAGTTTCACCGCCTCCAGGTCAAAGGTCTTTCTTTTCGCCCTATTTAAAAGTCACCAGGTTAATTTCAACCGATGCTCTTTTACAGCCTCCCGTTTCCGCCCTTTAAACACACTTCTAACACACGCAAAACTTCAAAAACAGTCTTTCATCGAACATTGAACCTACGCCATATTTGGCCACATTAAATATTATTGAATAATTTTATTTATTTATGAATAATATTATTACACGTTATAAACTGTTGAAAATTACTGTAAAAACAAATTAAAATTAACTCATAACTTGTTTTTTTTAGCTAAAGTCAGATAAGTTATAATTCGGAGGAGATCACGAGGCTAATTTTTAAAGTTATATTTTTAGTTTTAAATTGACGCATTGTAATAATTAATATAATTTGATCGCCTATGTTATTTGCAAAATTTTTTCAAACATTTCCTATAACAGTAAATTAAATAAACAACTTCAAGTTATTGTGAAATACAATTACTGAAGCTCATCTAAAGAAGTAATAGTATATTAAATTATATTTACATCTCTAAGACAGAATTTCCAGTCTATATGTACTTATTAAATATATATATATATATATTTCGAAAACAAACCATGTAATAAATTAATTGTTAATAATAAAATTTCCAAATGACAAATTAATATGAGACTTCTCTTACTATTTTGTGGGTACACTCCCACTAAAATCATAATAACAAATAAAGTAAAATTACAATATGAGATAATAATTATATATATAACACTCTTATAAAATTAAAGGAGTGTTTCGAAATAATATAATACTGCTAATCACTCACAGAAACTTACGGATGATCAAAGCTGATACATATTTTTTATTATACGCAGTTTGTGGAAACTTTTCATCAGCCAACATAAATTTTTGGTCGAAAAAAACTTTATCTTGCCAGTATTGAATTTAATATCTCTGGTATGTACAGTTAATTTTTCATAGCAAAAATACACTTGTCCATTGGTTTACCATTTGTCATACACTTGTCGTTTTTGCTGACATAAACGCCTTTCCCCTAATCGATAATAATAATTCTAGAGCGACAGTAGCAGGTGAGGTTTTACGCCATAGTATATTTAGTAACCACGTAGACTGCGTAGAGAAAAAAAAAATCAATTTTCTTGGCCACAAACAAAAATCTTGAATGTCAGAGATATACAAACAGTCAATCGTCGAATTCTTTCATCTCTTCTCATGTGGCAGCGTCATGTGCATTGTAATCTTCAACAATTTCGTGGGCGCGATAGTTTCGTTATGTGTACCTATAGATATTTTATGTCGTTAAACAAATGGTTCTATAAAAGGAAGCAGAGTCTTTTGCTTACAATATTTTTTACACGACTGGTAATAAATTATAATATGCATTTTCAAAAGAGTTGAGCTTCTAATGATTACAATAGAATAATATTAAAATAAATTACCAAGTTTTTTACTTTTTACTAGCATAAATCTTCTACACATTCATACTATAGTTTATTTTTCGGTTTAAGTTGTCTTTTTGAATCAATAAATGAAAAACGTTATTTACATTTTGCTATATAGGAAAAATTGAATTGACAGAATAACAGATCTTAAAATAAATATATTATTTCTTATTAAAGTAACCGTGAACTATAAAACCTAAATAAACTTATTAATTCCATCAACTAACATTGATAATTTTTTATTTACTTAAATTATGGTAAACTATTTGTCTTTAGAATTTTTTCTACGTTTTAATTTTTCTTCGCGCTTCTTCATTGCTCGTTTGAAACTGGGTATATATTTAACTGCTCATAAATCAATTCGCTAGATATATTCAATATTTTTGGTTGTGTATTTTTTCATCATCGAGTTAAATTTTTTTAACACTTTCCCAATAAATCGATCAAATAAATAAGCTCTCAGCGATGTATCGAAGGTAAAAATTATTTTAGACATTAATGAAGAATTCTATATTTTAGATTTAGGATATTACTTATTAACTTACAAATAATAATTGACCAGTAAGCCAAGGAAACACTAAAATATTGTTTGGCTTGTTCTTATTGTTGTACCGTAATGGAACTTTGCTCTTTTAACACTATGTATTTTTGTGAATAATTCTAATGATATAAAATGTTTTTTTCAATTAGATTTTGTGAAAAAATGCAAGACTTTTTTACAGATTTTTATTGAAAAAATGAACGTTGGTATCCCGAAGTGTTCGATTTCAAAAAAAATGTTTAATGTAGAAATAAAAATACAAAAACGGTGTTTGTTTAAATAACTATAATAATACAAAATGTGGTAAATAAACGGCAAATAATATATCGAAAATTCCACTAGGATAATATCCATAACGTTTTTAAAATAACATCAGGTAATAATTTTCTGTCGTTGTGGTTGTTTACGAAATGTCGACGTCCCCGGATAGTAAATTTGTAAATGTCATTTCCCTTGAAATTAATTACAGCGTTAAGAATTATTAATTCTCTGTTAAGTATCGTCGAAACCGTTAAGTTTAATTATACTTATAAGATTCTGGCTTTTTGAAAAGTTTCCATATTTTATGGAAGCTATCCAACTTTTGGAGAAATATTATTTTTGAGTATGAACACATATAATACGCATGTACAGTTAAAAAAATATATTTTTTATTTAGCTGTAAGTCATTAATCAGTAAAATTGTTGTATTTACCTTGAACAGAAATCCAATTATTTCTTAAGAGGATGGTTTTGATGCGTTTCGAAAAAAGTGGTCTATTTTAATTTGAAATGAACCGTTTAAATTTACCTACTACACCTAGCAATTTCGGGGTAAAACAATGTCCGGTTTTAATCTTTTTAGCTGCTTTATAATTGCATACATCATATCCCACTTGTATTTCCCCGTGAATGATTATTACTATCCCGAGGGAGAGAAAATAGTTATCATAACTCAGTTCAACGAGGTATAATTGGTCACGGTCGTTGTCCGAAGAACGTCGTTGGTACGGTTAGTTTGGAATATTACCTAAGTGGATGTAAGTGAGCGTGTACAAGGCAACCCGTACAGGTGCTTTTGAATCAGTCGCGAGTAGACCTTAGAAATGTGATTCCCCAGAGAGTCCAACTCCATGCCAACCTCCAATAAATAAACTACAAGTACGCGATGGTTTAAACTCGATTTTCCAAAACTTCTTTCGCCCTTTTTCGCGTCCATGTGTGTGTTTCTATGCACAAAGTATATTCGGTTTAAAATTTATACCTACCAATAAACGTGCGAAAATCTGAAAAAGCTCTTCGGGCGTAAAACCAATCTTGTGTTTTGACCCTATTACTGCCGATTAATTCTTATTAACGATCCGGTTGACATTTGTTTAAGCTCTCGAACGCGGCAAGTTGTTTCTACCACACAAGTTGGCGGTGTAAACTTTAAAGCTCATGTTCCATTCGTACAATGTGCTCCCTCAACAGTCTCGCGCACTGAAGTTTGCTCGTGTTTTTAAACGTAAATGTTTTATTCGCAGCACGTGCTTGCAGTTTTTGGATCAATATTGTATTCAACAATAACTCATTCTATTTTCAAAACTAATGCATAAATCAATGGCGAATTGAAATTTATAACATCAAATAAAATTGACGAATTTCATTGCATGTTTTATGGACCACGTAATCTTTACTACTTAAGATAATTCGATTGTATCAAAATATGTTTCTTGTAATGCGTCACTTGGAATTCATACAACAAATCGAAAATGTTCAATATATTATTATTTCAATAATAATTTATAAACGTCAAATGGTAACACATTTTATTTATCCATTTTATACTTGTAGGCGTATTGTATTTTATCATAAAATGTTCATTAGTTGAAATCGTTAAGGTTCATAAATTACAAATGTTCAAATTTTAACGGTACGAGGGACGCCGATTAAGATTACGAGTCCATTTCTGAATCATAATCATAACTTCGAAGAGATACTCATAAATTTAGTCCACGTCCCTTCCAAATATTCTTATATTTTATCCGTATAAAAATGCTGTTACGGAGGAGGGAATCTCAGACTATTCTGTTATTACGCGTAATGCATGCGTAACGCTGGCGTAGGTATACGCCAGTGCTCTGAATTATTGTAATCCGTCCGGGCAATTTTTTCCAACAAAATTACACGAATCAGTTGTAATTTCATCAGAAAAAGGACACATGCAGTGCGTGCTCCTGTATGTCTACTACAATAGGATTACTGTGACGTACAGTTGAATCGCGTGACGAATCTTATGCGAAATTACATATCACGCAAATCATGAATTAGTTTTTAACACAAAATATAAATACATATGTCATTGGAAGTATTGGTCTCATTAAAAAAATATTAATCAAATGACTGATGTGGACATTAAGAAGTATTTTATATTTAAATGTTTTGCTATAAAAACAGACAAAATGATCCGTTTTTTAGTTTTCGTTTACCGCGATACACAAACATTTCAGAGTGATATTTTACTCGGTAAAACGTAGTTGACTGGTGGCCGTGTAACTGTAGCCTTTTACAAATGCCATGGCCGTAGGCTCTTTACAGTGCCATTACACATTCCACGTGTAATTTATTTTGCATGCGGATTCTTATGGAGTATAATGTTTTTCCTTTTTACGGATGTAAAAAAACAAGGAGAATGCAAATAGTCTCCAAGAGGCAATAACCGTGAAATATTATTTGTTGTGTAGAACTATATAATTCGGTGTTATGTAAAGGCGTAGATACATCTCGAGAATAAAAAAAAACCTTGTGTTCAAATTGATTAAAAATATAGCGCTCGGAACACAGTACTAGATTAGGCCAAGCGCAGAAAACAACGAAAAAACTAATAAGAAACCTAGAGCTTTTGAAAAGGTCGTAAAAACAGCGACCTTTGAATGTGAAACATAAAAAGTTTTTTGGCTCTACCTGCGCACACAGCCGCTGGCGTTTCTTACACACACTGGTGAAATAGCTCAGTCGATTTGTAATGTAATTCTCCTCGGCTACTCATACGGATTGTAGTACTTCCTCAGCCTTAAGAAATATTGTGGAAAAGAGTAAACTTTCTTTGGTATCTATGGTCCCAGTACACTTTTTTATGTGATCTATGTCGTCTGTCAACTGAAAGGGGTTTTTCATGTGTGGGTTGGATTATTAACTCCAAGGTGGACATAAAGTTAATCCCAACAAAAGTTTTTTGCTCGTTACCATGACAAATATATACATATAGTGTTTTTTTTTTAAATAGATTTGTTATTCCATGGTACAAGTAACCATGATATTTTCTTAATAAGTACTTTCGGATTGATGATCTACTAAGTGCACGTTACTTTTAATAAAATTTATTTCCTATATAAATATAATTTCTTGTTAATGAAATAAATAAATTAGTTAAATTTTAAGAATTTTTCCCGGTTTAATTGTGGTGCAAATGTTATTATTAGTGACTCATTTAAGTGTGTTGATTTTGTTTCAGGAACACGAGCCAATCGCACAATGATCCAAATCCAAATGGTGATTACTTGGATAGGCTCCATAGAAAACAAATTAATTTAAAAATATATTCCTTTTTGGTAAGGTTTAGACACATGGTCATAAATATATTTTTAAGCGTTACACGGTTCGTTATTTTACACACATCCGAATGAATGACTGGAGTAATGATTTAATGTTCTCGTTAAACAACTATTTTAGAACTTACTAAAAACAATTTAAATATGAGGTTTATTTTTAATTGAACGCGAAACAATTATTATCATAAGTTTATAGTAATTTTTTAAATTGACTATTTATAATTTTTTGATAAAAATAGTGGAGTTTTGGGGGTATACGGCGTATACTCACTAACAATTTTTTTAATAAACGTATACCCTAGAAAAATAACCTTTAAGTACTATTTATATTAAAGGATATATGCTCAAAATTAGAGTACACACTAAAAAATGTTTTGTTACGAAAATACTACTAGATAAAAATGTGGAGTTTCTTTGAACATAATTAATGATTAATGTTCTGATTTAATAAATAACATACATCATTGATTTGTGTCATTTAATAATAAATTATTTATTTTTTTTTTTTCAAACTAAAGATACTTTAATCAATAATACATGTATGTTATCTATTCTTAAGTGTGGAAATTCTTAAATAATATTACCCAAGGACCTTGGTATTTAACAAAACATTATAACTAATTACATGCACGTTCTTAGAGTTTTTTCTCGAGGGAGTACATCCCTAAGATATCCTCCTCTCTCCAAAAATATATTTTTACCATATATTAGTTTTCGTCATTGGGAGAGGAGAGTAATGAGAACACCCATGACTAATTATGTTAATATTTTATTTAGTTGAATGAACTCAATAAAGAAGATTAGTGAATTCAATGTCGGGATGTATCAGGGTATCATCCCGGTCGGGAGTCCGGAATGACGGTACAGTGCAAAATCCTCACCAGCAATATGCCCAAATAATTAAGGTAATTTGGTAAAAATTATTTTTTTCTGTACATAACACATATAAATTGCCACATTGCAAATAATTTTCATGAAATATTAATAAACGAAACCCTAACTATAAATTATGTTTCCCTAAATATAAAAAAAATAACCCTTTTCAGTCAATAAATCTAAAAACTACCCGGCGCAACAGGCAAAGCAAATTAAAATATGATTTGAAATACGATGATGATCTGGAATAACTTGGTTAATGTATGAATGTCATGAGGAAATATTTTTGTTTAAACATAAAGTGCAGGCAATTCTTAATCGTAATAAAAATTTAATTAAATTTTTGACGATTAATAATTTTTACCTTAAAGAATATTGTCATAATTTTTTAATAATATTCAAAACTAATTGTCATATGGTAAATATATATTCTAGCTACAATATTTTGCAAATTATTTCAGCGTTTGTAGTAATGTAGGTATGGCGTAGTACATTTGATTATAATTAACAGGCGCCACTTAGGGTATACAACTTGGCGCCATTTCATTTGAGTATAGGCAACTAAAGCTACTTTAGTGTAATATTTTTAGTTGATTGTAACAAATAATCTAATAAAATGTTTACATTGATTTTTTTACTCCAATTATATAATTTTTCTATTTCGAATATGAATAATTTAGAATACAATAAATTAAAAAAAAAATTTGTAATTATATAAATTAATTTGTTTTATTACCTCTTATTTTTAAAATAACTGCTTATTAATAAATAACAAATTATTACACATAAAAAATATAATTATAATAAAAAAGTTTTAAAATTGTTATGAATTTTTATTTTTGATATGGTATTAATAATCTGTGCGAAATTTTGATCCAAAATATCATATTTAATCTAATTGTTGGTAATATAATGTTGATTAATATAAAAGTTTACAATAAAAAAAATTGATTTTTTACCATTTTTTAATTTGTTTTTATAAAACAATGTCCTGTTTAATGATGTCAATTTCAAAACATAATTATGGCGTAAAATAAACTCATTTTTTCGTCTTTGATGATTAAAAGGTTCCATTTTGTAAATCAATGTTATTAATTCTCGATTATTTGGCCATAATAAAATAATTCAATGAATAAAATGTTTTCGTAAATTCGTTGCATTATTGTTTATTTTAAAATATGAAGAGCTTTAAAAAATTATGTGGTCATAAGTGCATTCATTGTATTTTAGAATTTTGCCAGATGTGCGTTATAACTGCCGGAAAGCGATTAACAGTCTTATTAAGACATTAATTATGGACAAAATTTCCATACTTTATAGTCTAAATACAGGAATGGTCTTCATAATTAAGGCTTTTACTGGAAGTCAGTTTACTGCGTCCCTTTTGTCCAATTAAAACACAGGAGTATTCCTTGTGTTCGTATAGTAAAAATTAATTATGTAATAAATCTTTTCGTTCTAAGACACCTGATGCTTACATACCTACAAATGGATTAAATTTTATTAATGTATCATATTACTTTTTAAATGAACTAGTTTCTTTACTAAAAATCTGATTTTTTATTTTATTGAAAGTTTTACGCGTTATAAGACATAAATAATTACTTACATTTCTTTTATTAAATTTTAAAGCATTATTAACTTATTCATTAATTAATTGTGATAGTGGTTTTAATCACTGTCAGATGTCATCTATACTTGTCCCAACTATGTCACTACAACTTTGTGCTACGACCCTACTGTGCTACCGATTTTTATGTATAACTGATTGGAGGTTTTAACTTTCTAAATGTTTAAAAAATTATTTTATTTTCTATAAATATATTTGTCGGTGTAGGAAAAATAAATTTGCCCTCTGATGCATAATTGAATATAATAGCTATTTACATAGTTTCTAATTATGATTATTTATTTGATTTCTTAAGGTCTACACTGATTGGGCTAACCATTATTTGGATAAAGCTAAGTCTAAGAGAAACATAAAAGACTTACAACAAGACCTAGCTGACGGTGTACTACTATCTGACCTCGTGGAAATAATTTGTAAGTTGAACACTTAATAAATTTTGTAAACAGTTATTTAGACTGTAATATGTTTTAAATGGCATTTATACAGTAAAAGCTTAATTTATATGTCATTCGATATAATGAATTATGACACATAAATTGATAAATTAGACCAGATATTCATTAACTTAGCTAACATTTTTTTTTAAAGATACATATGAAATTAACTTGCATATAATTTTATTTCTTTATGTGTATATAAATCTTCTATACACAACACTTAGTATTGTACATTTTAATAATTTTTATTATTCATTACACAATCTATTTCGATAGGAACACTAGGCCTTTAAATAATAAGTTAATAAATAAAATATTTGAAGAAAAAAGTTACCTAATAATAACACTGTTTTTATTTTGAAAAGTAAATTTTAGTATTATATCCGTGCTCTTCTCCGTTATTTTTTTTAAATCTACACTTAATTATTACTTAAAATTACCTTAAGCATTTCAAGAATTAAATACATATTAGTAATTAAATTTATTATAATCATTGTATAATATTTAAAAATTCGTTTAAAACGAGAATATCTATAATTATTTTTAAAAAAGATATTTAAATTTGTTATTTTTTTTAAATATTTATCTATATATAATTGCGAGTACAGCGATATTTTGTAAAAATTAATCTCTTTTTTTTTCCTTCAGTCAAATTCGTGTTATGTACAAACAATTAACATATAAAACCCTTGTCGAAAATTGAATAATGAATATTTAATTTTCTATGTATACATTGAGGTTTTTGTTTTTATTTGAATATATAAATGTAATTTACTAAATTTTTATATTTATACAAATAATCTTGACTAAAATTTTAAATACATCTCTTGAACATTTTTCATTTAGTAGTTTTGGCTTTAATTGTTTACTGTATATAATTTTTAAGGCAATCATCGACTACTCGACGTGAACAGGAAACCAAGGACCCACTTACAAATGGTAAGTGTACATTTAGTCGATGTGTAGATTAAACATTTTGACGACCGAGTGCGCTTACTAACTATCAACGCTTATTTTATGACTCGTGTTGTTATCAACAATCGTAAAAAAATCCAAAGTGTAAAAAACATAACCACTTTGTGGGAAAATCGTTAATACATTTCCAATAAGACGCATGCGGGAGTAATGAACGCGCGTAGCACACTTAAGTTGAGTCAGCTGACTGAGGACACATTGATAAGCAGCGTATGTATTGCTGTCGGAACCAGTTTCACAGGAACTCCTATAGTTTGCTTTTGACCTACAAAACCCTTATTACTTATATTTTTTTATGGATTTCGCCTCGAGCAACACTCTTAGATGAATACACGCCGACGAACACTTCTTCTGGGTGCTGTTTTGAAGGTTAAACGGGAAAAGAGTCAAGTTATATTAATATACATACGTATTACAGTGTTCGATTAACGACTCGCCGCGTGCGGTCACTTTGTGACCTCCAAAGAAACAGTGGAGATTAGTGTAACACCATTAACACATACACCTTATTAATACGCGACTTTTTATGTTGTCTCAAATGGAAATTTTTTTTATAGAAACGTAAAAATGTTTAAATGTATTTCAATAATTATAAATTGTAATGATTTTTTTTGTGCGCTTGGCATGTAATGTTCATAATAATAATTATTGATATATTTTTTAGCAATATATTATTAACATTTCTACATCAGAATTAAAAATTCTAAAACAATTAGAGACTTAAAATAATAATAGTATGCACAAAATCTTATTTCCGATGCAAAATATAAAAGCTTCAATATCATAATTTTTGGTTCTTCTCCGTCTAAGTTTGAGCCATGAAAATCACGTGTTTATTAATTATTTAAATAAAATACACAAACTCTATGTATTTTATATCATCAAATATATTACACATTTTAAAAAAACTCTTGTAATATTCATAACCAGCCTACTATTATAATACAAAATAATTTGTTAATTGACGTGTCGAGTTGCATTTAAAATGAAATAACTATGTTAGAATTTCGTAGTTCTTATAAAAAAAATAAATATTTTTTCCTTAAGTCACGTTCGTATTTCGCTCATTCAAGTTCTCACGACGACAGTTGCTTTTGAAATCATTGTGGATCGGCCTATTGTAAACTAAATATTTTTCAAAAGAATAATCCTCGGTTGTCATTTTTTTTAGCAACAATATATCGAATCAATAAAATAGTTGTATTGAATCAATTAAAGTATTAAGATTGGGTACCGAATCGTTTAGGTCACGGAACGTGTTGAGTAGTTTTACTGTGGTCATTAATCTTTGACGCGTTTACCCATTTCTTTTTGTATATAATTAACATCATATTTTTATTACTGACCTATCGTCGGACGGTTAAGTTATGATGTACGTGCACATAAACGTAAATGTTTTTTGTCATCTTCCTAATATCCAGAGCATTTGGTCTGTTGTCAAAATAAATTACTTCTTTAATTATTTAATTCGTTATGGTCATTGGTCTTTCTATGTCAGTACTTGGCTACTGTGTGACACTGATTGTTCGTCATTGTTCAACTCTGAAGAATTAAACAGATCCATAAATTAAATTTTAAAAAAGGCTTTACCTGTGTGACGGTGGATACTCATTGAGTTCATCGATACAATGAACGAAACAAAACGGTTAAAAACAAAACAATAAAAATAGTGGGTGCTACAAAACGATTATAGTATGCCGCCGCTGTTGCCACTGCCGCCGGTCTGTTGTAAAAAAGCAAAGAGAAGTACAGTGTGCTGCGAACTGTACTAGCGGAAAGACCGGTTTGATATTGTCACGTNAACGATTATAGTATGCCGCCGCTGTTGCCACTGCCGGTCTGTTGTAAAAAAGCAAAGAGAAGTACAGTGTGCTGCGAACTGTACTAGCGGAAAGACCGGTTTGATATTGTCACGTTCTCCAAAAACACTCCAAAACCGCTAAAAAATTACGTGTGTTTACCATTCATTCGTTAAATGATAATTACTTTTTATTTGAAAAAAAAAAACAGTAATAGTGTTTAAATATGTACATTATAACGCATTGGATTAAATAATGGATTATTATCAGTGAGTTATAAATTGATACATTTTGACTTAATCTTAAAAAAAAATTTGTATATTGTATTTTTTTAAATCAATTTCTATACGTTTATGAACATTTTACACTGTAAAATAATAGGAAAATACTAAATTACCTATTACTTTATTACATTACAAATTTTGTTGATAAGACTTGGAAAAGTATTGCCTATTTTTTAGTATTTGGTATTTATTATGTTTTTTTAATAATAATTACTTTCAAGATTATTTTTACTTTTAATATTTGTTAAACTACTGAGGTTTGGCATTTTTTCATAAATTCACGACTGTCATTAAGATGAAAATTTAATGTAATACAATATTAGTATAAAAATAGTTAAATCCCGTAAACATTTTTCCTAGAAAACGAATTATTTATGTGTTATTATAGTTTTACTAGTAATTATTTCGAGTCAATATTAATGGTAATTAATAGAATATACTAATGGCACAGAAGCGTCGTTTCAAATTTTACTAGAATAGGGCAAATTTTTTACCGACTAATAATTTAATGAAGCTGCTGTGGTTCGATTACTAACAACTGGCACCCATCACACTTAATAAAAAAACTGCCTTAATAGAAATTTTTTCAAAATCATTTTGATAAGATTAATTATTTAGGCGGCCTACTAAGTTCAGTCGGAAAAGCTTCACGTCTACTGTCACAACTGTGCTATATGGGCTTTCTCGTTCTTTCTAGAACAAGTAATAACTTTTAAAAGATGATGATAAGCATAAATAAATAAATAAAATATAAAAGTAATTCTTAAGGAATTTTATATGAAATGATATGGAGAGTCGTATAGAAAATTATATACCATATATGTCTATATACTAATATTTAAATGTTATCAAACAAAATTTGTAGAGAATTTTTTATAATATTTTGATACTCGTACTGTTTGAGATACAATGTTTTGTATATATCGGTAAAGTTATTAAAATGGGGTTTCTTTTGCATTTTATGTAGTTAAATGTGAAATATTAAATACCTTTTTCTTCGAGTAAAAATTATTTTTCATTACATTTATTTTTAAATTACTAGACATTGGCTTTAAATGAGGAATTTGGAAATAAGGAAATGAGGCTTTTGATGGGTTTTGATGGGTTTTCTCATAGTATGGCCCGGTCAGCAAGATTGCGGATTGATCAGCCCCAGTTTCCACTAAAAATTTGACTGTGGGAAATGCCCAAATTGCCACTCCCCAAATCTCACTCCACTGTACTTAATCACACAGTAAATACAATCAATAATACATTGACACTAAAAGTAAAATCTTCATGACTTTTTTGAGTTTAAGGATCATATGATATGAGTCACTATTTTTAAATTATATTTGTTGAAATTAAAAAGACCTGTATTCAGGATGATATACGAAAGCCTATACGTTTTTAATATTTGCAGAAATGTAATTTCAATTAATCTTAAACACTATTTTATAACGCGGTATGACGTGTACGTCATCCTATAAATTGCAGTTTAATGTTTGTAAATTTTAATACGAGTACAACTGCTTTATTTAAATTCAAATCATCGTCTTGTATTTATTTCTTGTTAGATATTTAAAAACTTTATTTAAGAAAAAATTTAATTCAAATTGCTATTTAGTGATATTTAGCCTACCAATCTAAATAAAAAGACCTCTGCCCTATTAAGTGATAACAGAGTTATAAACAATAATAATTCTATTGAATGAAAATAATGTAATGCTTCACAAACTTCTATTATTTTAGCTTATAACTGATATTTTCACCAAACAGTGATAAATCAAAATATGAATTTTATCAATTATCTGAAACATCTTTTACCTCAGAATTAGTCGAAAATATTTTATACTCTTTTTGATCGTATTCTTATGTAACTACTCAATTTCACTAAGCTATGCGTTTTCCTAAGTTTCATGGTCATCAAGAGCAGCACTACTTTCATGTCGGCAACAATTGGTTGTCAAGGTACATTTAAAAATAAAAACAAGATAGTGTACCCATTCAGCTAAACATACTCAATTTTCCAAATAACACAAATTGTCACGTCTCTGTAAAAGAAATTGTGACTTCATCTTAACCATTAGAAGAATGAGCAATAATAATAATTGACAATTTTGTCACGGACAACCTTGGAATTTTGCGATCTACATCATTGTAGTCTGATTTTTTTACTTCTTAGTATCATAAAAAATGATCCTTTTACTTGCGTGTTACTAGCAGTAGGAAAACGATATTGCAATATTGCACGCAAGCTTATATAAAAAACATAAAAACGTCCGGTACTTAACGGTATTTGTTATTGTCCGTTATAACTGAAATACAATTAAAAAACAATCATCGAATAAACAAAATTACTTTGATTTAGTGTCCATAACAAATAGTAAACATGTGTAAAAAAATATAATTATTCATTCTTCTTGTCTATCCGAATATCAACAATTAAAAGTATAGTATTATTTTTACTATAATTCTGGACTCATACACTGGCGAGACTGTAATAATTATAAGCTTTCGATTTTAACTGAAATTGCTCGGAGTACATTCATAATTTTTAATAGTAGTAATTATTTTTAATAATATTCATTTACTATTGAAGAAAATGTATTTATAATTATAAAAATAAATTATGAGCACAAGAATTTTCTAAAATTGTTGAAATAGGTACAAGCTGTTTACTTCTAAGTTAACATATTATTAAATTGTAATAAATTGGATTTCATGATTTAGGTATGTAATGCAAATAATAATTATGAATAATAAATAAAAATTTTACTCGCCACTAACTATAGTAATAACACACGTTATTGTTTTAATACCGTTATATTTTTCTAGACTATTAAAAACTGTTCACTAATAATCAATATTAATAATAACAATTAGAATTAAAAGTTATTTCCATAAATAAACTTTTGAAAGTAAAATATTATAATTTTTTGGAGTCCAAGAAAACATTTAGCAATTTCTTTGAAATATTATTTATTTTCAATTTTGATATTGACTTATTCGAACATATTGCGTTGAATAACAAAGTTATATCAGAACAAAAGGATTATTTACACAAAATGACTTCACTTCTCTCAAACTACTTGATTCTCCTTTTATACATGTTCTTGTTTTTCTGAAATACTTAACACAAAATAATTGACATTTTTAATGACTTACTCTATGAAATTATTCTATTCCGATTTATTTGATCATTATGAGTTCAATCACAAATCGTCAGTAGTAATTATTGCAATAGAAGTTGTAATTTGTTATCATTATTATTTTTGAAAATTTATATTATTAAGTATAATAGCTGTGAACTGTTAAATTGAAATTTAATAAAGTAACCCAAAATTTGTAAATGTTACCAACTTTGTAATATGTTTCTATTTATATTTAAAAATTTGTTTATAAATTTCATTAACACATTAATGTAATTTAAATAATACTTCATTGTTTAACTAATTACTTTTTATTGCATTGATTTAAATTTTTATTAGGTTTTTTTACTTGTTGGGCCATTTAATATTATCCCGAATAACTGTATTTGTGTACTATTAAAGAAAAGGGCAATTATTTTATATACATTAGAAAATTCTATCTATTATTTTTCAATCAATCATTTCAACTCGTAACTTGTTTTGAAGTTTAAAGTTTTGAGATGGTCTACAAGTTAAATACACAAAATATTGTTGTTCAAAATGTAAAAATATGGTTTCAAGTAATGTTGAATGAGAAATTTAAGCTGCGAATTTAAATTTTACATTGATTTTTTAAGGTCATTCAATGTAATTGTGCTATAAAAATTCTTCTTTTTGTTTGTTTTGAAAGCAAAGTAGTAAAAATTTATTAAAGATAAGAATAATTATTTATTCAAAATATACAATAATATGTAACATATTTTCTTACATATGTGAATTTTTTGCGTTATGTATTTTAAAATATTGATGATAATACACAAATGGAAAACTTCATAACAATGAAACTAAGAAATCAAGGTCGTTATGGTAGTCTTGGCGCATCAAATTAGTCATCGTAGTATAACACAAGTATAACATAATACAGAAAAAATGTTTAGACGATCGCAAATAAGATAAACCTTCCCGTAATTGTTTATCAAAAAATGGTTATTTATATTGTTACTCGAGTAACGATATATATATAATCATTTTTTACTAATTAAATTACAAAAATACTAATTAATCAGTTTGTAATTTATAAATCATAGCTACTAATTTAAAACCAATTAGGATAGAAACACATTGAAAAAACTCATTTTATTATAGTGTTGTTTTATGAATAAAATTAAACAGTTTAGTGTTTAAACTTCGCTGTATTTTTCAAGATTCTTAAAAATTTAATAAATCATCAAATTATGAATTTATAAATAAAGTCTTACAATTATTTTTCGATAATAATTCATTTGATATAAGTGGAAATTGTGTATGTCAATATTCGTGTTAAATGAATTTGACATAAAAATAAACATGTCAAAAATTTTAATTTAAAAATCAATTTTGAAAGCAAGTTTATATTTATTTTGACATTAAAAAATATTAATTTAATTAATCGTATTTTCCAGTAGTGAAACTAATATATGGGATTTAAGGATTTGCTTAGCCCGAAAAATATCTCAGTCAGATTTTTCTTTTTAATATTATAACCTTGGCCGACCCCAAGAAGTTGGGATTAAGGCGAGGAAACTGAAGAAGAATATTATAACCGACCAAATCAAATTGTCAAAAAGAATTTAATCAATGAAATAGATTTATTGGAAAAAAATAACTTCTATATGCCTCTGATAATTATTTGTGTTTTAAAAATACTAATATACAATAAACATTGACATTTTTTTTTTTTTTTGCTTCTTATTATTCTTTTTATTAATATTTAATTATTTTATAATAGAAGAAGCTTACGAAATTCTATTATATTTTTATGTGTTAATTTGTTTAGAAAAATTTAAGTTTAAGATTATGACTAAAAAAACTTATTATTTAATATAAAAGTATTATGAAGCTGAAAAAGTCTATTATATTAAAAACATTGTCTTTAATTTCTGTAGAGTATAGATAATTTACTTTCTAATTTTTCGTTGTAAACAATAAATTTTATTGTTCCCAACCATTTATACATAATGTGATAATTTCGCGAGTCAATTAGTGCAGTATCTCTTAGATTTCAAAATTATTAAATAGCGTATCTAATAAATTATTTTTATTTTAGTTGGGAAATATCAAAAGCTGCTTAGATCTTTTAGAAACCCTTGGTGTAGTTTTGGATGGTATTACTGCACATGACGTCAAAGAAGGCAATTTAAAGGCAATTTTGGGTTTATTTTTTGCTTTATCTAAGTACAAACAAAAACAGAAACAACAAATGAAAACCGAACAGGGTAATACTAAATCTCGAATACCTACAGACATGAAGCAATCAAGGTAATGTTTAATTGAACGTCACTATAGTTAAGATAAATTGCACTTGAACGATGACTGATAGACATAATAAACAGGGGGGTGGGTGGTTGAAAAATGAAATAAATTACGTCATTGTGGATCTAGTAAGGGCGTCATTGTGGACCCTATTGCATGTCCCTTTTCACATCCCCAATATCAGACTAAAGTGTGTTGTTCAGTTCCAATGGGGAATTCGAACAGTGCACGTCACCGTCACGAGCAGCAACAGTCCAAGAGTGTTCCGACCTCTCCTGAAGTCCGATTAAGGTTCTTCTTAAAATAATATTACATTGTAAACTTAAGTACAATAGCAACAAACGATTTGAAATCACAAACCGTAGTTTATATTGTTAGCTTAGGTTGGTCTTATATTATACTGATGAAGTAATTGTTAATTTTCTTATTGTATTACAGACTTCCTGGACCTACCCTTCATTCAGGTAGCATAACTAGTATACCTACTCCGTTCGCTCAAAGGTTTCATCATTTGCAGAATTCATCTGTACCTATTAATAGTGAGTTCATTTGTTTAAATTTTAAATGTAAAGGTACATAGATAGGTAACATTTTTTTTTTTTCATAAAAATTACCATGTATCATCATTTTTAATTTATCTCAACGTAATAATTAAATACATTATACACCCAAAGAAAAACCTCAATCAAAATTGAAAGAGAAATTTTATCAAGGTTTATGATAATGTTTTATTAATACAAACAAAATAATTATTCTTATGAATAATTGTTGTTCAAGACAAGAAAAAAAATATCATATTGATAAATATATCATTGATTCAATAGTAATGATATATTTATCAAATTGAACAATGAATTTATTATATAGATCGAGGTTTTTCTCTGGGTGTAGAGATTGTACTTAAAGTTGTGGTATAACAGAATAATATTTTTTCTAGATAAACTAATAATAAAAATGTATTTTAAAATACTTATTTAACAACGATATGTTATTTATTTTTTAAAGATAGCGTTTCAATTAAATTTATTAACAAATTAATTTTGTTTTAAAGTATATCTTAAATATATATTCATAGTTTTTTACTACTAAAGTTCTATAATTATTAAAAGCGTCATTTAAATCATAAAAATATTACTATATAGAAATCATATAAAATTGTTTCAATTCTGTGTTAGGACTTCGGCCTGTTCATGTACAATAATAAATAAATATTATTTAGCGATGAGTCATTCGAGGATAAAAAAAAGTATATATTTTAAAGCCAATTATTCACAGCTCTTCAAAGTGTTATTTTGATTGCAATTAATTGCCGTTAAATTATATTTTAAATTAAATTACACATAAACTGATTAATATTTACATACATAAAAATATTATACAGCACGATTTTAAATAAAATCTTTAACATGTTTTAACTTGCAAGTAAATGTTTTTTTTTTAATATGTCTTTCTTTTATCAAACAAGTTTTATGCGAATAAAAATGCATAAGAGTGTTCACTCACAAAAGTTTTTAATCATCTCATTATAATTAACATTAATCATTAAATTATGTAAAGTTTATAGAAGATTCATCTATAGAGACAAGAAAAACTAGTATTAGGACATTTTTTAAATAGATTAAGTTTTTTAGATATATATGACATGATTCTTTAAATAACCTTCTCGATAGTTCTGAAATGTTCATATATTTTTTTCAATTTAATCTTGAAAATATTTACGTAACAATGATGTAAAATAATGGTTGAGGAATAATTGTCATACTGTGTGTAAATACTGAATATAGTTTTAAAGCAATAACTTTTTATTTTGTACAATATATTTAAATTAGTTCATATTGAATTAATTTTTTTTTTTTTTTTGTAAATTCTATTTTTACTCTTTTGCTCATTTAGCTACCATCAATAATAATTACTCATACTCAGTATTTCGTTCCACACCCTAATCGAAAAACATTTCTAACAGATGACGTCATTACATTTCTTATGCATGAAATACCCTAGCCTGTTGCTTATTTACTCTTATCATTCGTTTTTTGTCGTAATCTAAATCCTTGTAAACTTATATCTGTGAACCTTGATACCTTCATTACAAGAAGAAATCGAGTGGGTGTAAATATTCAACTGCATAGTTATCCAAAATTTTTTTACATACAGTTTGATATTGTAAGTTTTAAAATCAGTAATATTTAATTACTATTTTATGAAACAAGTAATTATAATATAAACGTAAGTTTAATGTAAAATGTACCCCTAAATTAAAATAATATTTAATATATTAATAAAAGATTTTAAAATTTATTTTAGTTTTTATGTGTTAAATAATCTATATAAAATGATAATATTCAATTTTAGGTCCCTATTCAGGTATAAAATGTACATCAAATAGTAGCTCTAGATCTACTAGTCCTCATACATTTATACCATCACCAAAATCAGTTATCAAAACTCCTGTAGCTTCATCTAAAAATTTAAAGTAAGATTTATTTTAAATTAATTTTATAAAAAATTATGTTCAATTTTTTTTTCAGTCAAAAAAATGGAGTTTCTATTAAAACTACTAATATTGCCAGCCCATACAGTTCAGCTCAAAAAAATAGTGTTATGCTGGAAAAATTGAAGTCATCTTCCAACTATAAAGAAAAATCAAATAAGCAAGGTTCCTTAAACTTTGTTTTTTATTTAACTTAAATTACTGAGATATTGACTAAGAGTCAGAATGTATTGGAAATAATAAGAGTTAATGTATTATTATTTTTTTTTTTTTGTATCACATAATGTCATAAAGAAAAAATTAATTAAATTATGTAATTCAGATTTTGTTATTAAAACGTTATTTTTACTAATAAAATATACTCTAAGCAAAGTCATTTTTTAGGGGGGAAAAAAGAGGTAAAAATACTTCTATTATATAAATAAATATGTATTTTAAAATGATTTAGACTTACAGAATTGTTAACTTGTCAGTTATTCTAACCTTTTCAAAAGAGTAAAAATAAATAAAGAGAGCATTTAATGTCATAATTAATTTTCTTCAAGCATAGAATTTGGTACCCTTTACGTTTAAAAATTAAATTAATATGAAAATATTAAAATAAACTAGAATCACTCATTTTTCTGTTCATAATAATTGTTATTATTATAAGATTTGTTTTATATTAATGTTGATTATTATTTTTAGTTTTGACTAGTACAAAAAGAACATCAAGTTCAAGTGGTTTTAGTTCTGCGCGTTCTGAACGCAGTGATTCCTCAAATAGTCTAGCAAATGAACCAAAGACCATAACAAAGTTTGTATAATTTAAATATAAATTTTGATCAATTAACTATACCTTTTAAGGAATTATAAATGAATACCATAAGTGTATCTTAAATCTATAAATGTTTTTGACTTGAAAGAGTTTCAATTAATGAGCTACTTTTATAAAAATTTCCACTTTGGCATTATAATTTTATCAATACTTAAAAATTTTATACCCATTGATACCAGTACTGGTTATCAATACTTATTGATTTAGTCCTCCTTTAAATGAAAATAATAGATGGTATTTCTTTACATTGTTTGTTAATTAAATTACAACGAAAAGTAGACCTTTACATTTCCCAAGATGTAGTTAAAGGAATAATTAGTTAATCACTCTATATTTGAGTTTTTTGATGTTTTTAATTTATTTATTTTTGCTTTAGTCTAGAGAAAATAGACAATTCTAATGAAATTTCGAAACCTATACTCAGAAAAAAAATTGTTCGACCACCTGTTCCAACTGAATCTCGACTCTCCAAAATAAGTTTAAAATCATCATTACCACCGAATTCTGAAAACACTCAAAGAAAAAGTGTAGAGGTAAATCATATAAAACTTTAACATTTCCCTAAATTTTTATTTATAATATTTTTTGTATTTATAACTATTAGATTTTAAATATAAACAAAGAAGATTTATCTTCTACGATGGAGACATCACAAACTCAATCGAGACTTAGTGGAACAGGTATCCCAAAACCTGTAGCTACTGTTAAAGGTATGACAAAACCAACACATAGTGTTGCTCCAATGCAACAAATGGATTCTGAAAATAAAAAGGCTGAAAATATAGGAAAGTGTAATGAAAAACTGTCTGAAATTTGTATTGATAACAAGAAACTAGAAAATGTAATAAATGTGTTTAACGTATATTTTTATGTATCATGAAATTTTTAAATAATAATAATTAAATTTCAGAATAATTTTATTCCTATTGATATAAAACATGATAAACAAAGGTCATTTACTGAAGATGAAGATCCAGCTTTACGTATTAAGCCAATGGAACCTTTGCTGAGGGGATACAAAAGATCCATAATTGTACCACCGCATCGCACTATACCATCTGATTTTGGTAAAACAAAAAATTAACTTTGAACTCTATTATATTTTAACTATAGAAAATAATATTTTATAAAATATTATTTAACATTAATATTTTCAATAGACTTTCCTTTTAGAATCTTATATCAAAGAAATAATATTTAAAAGTAACAATTTTTTTTTGTTAATATTCAAAGAATTTTATTTTAATTACTTACAAATTATTTAGAAAATAAGTAAATCTTGCTTTAAATAAATATTGTAAAAATATTTATATATTACTTATATTCATATATATTTATTTTACCAAAATTAAAAAAAAAAATTATTGTAGACCAAGTAATAGCTATATTTGTTGGATTCCTTCCCAAAAGTCAATGTCTTGATATGAACATCATAAATTTTACAGGTTCATATAAAATCAATCAAACAAGAAAAATATCATTAGTTAAATAATTATTCTAGTACCTGATCGAAGTTTTCGTTATTGTATATATAAACAAAATGGCTGCCTTTGATTAACTATTTGCGAATTTTCAAGAAAAAAATAACATTAGTTTATAATTGTAAAAAATATAATACTTAGTAAAAATAGTCTTTTGAAAAGGCATTTGTTTTTTATGCCTTCAGTAAGTTTTACACATTTTATTCAAATCTGTTGAGTAGTTTTTGAATCTTAGTGTTCACCTATCACTGAGAGAGGGTCTAACAAATAAAGTTATCACTTTGTCTACAATAATTTTTTATTTTAATTTTTATCAAATAATTTATTTAGTACTCTACTATCCCTAACTTCTTTATAGGATAATTATAAATGTATAAGTAAATATAGATAAAATGAATCAAATTAAGAATGAAATGATAATATGTTAAAAATATGGACTTGGAATTACTGAGTTGTAAACGAACATATTAATTAAATTAAGGAGCATTTAAAAAATATCAAAATAGTATTATTGATTTATTAGTTGGTAATCTTAAAATTAAAGAAAAATTGTATTATTTTAGGTGAAAAATGTGAATATATATTTTTTAAAAGTTTTACGTATTTTATTGGCACTTAGGATTTTATTTTTCTTATACTTTTTAATGACCTTTAATAGTTGTAAATATTTGTAATAATAATATATACATTATAATTATGAATAAATATTTATTTGTATGGTTTAATTATTAGTACTTTATTATTTATACTAATGATAGGGTTGACTCAGAATTCAGGAAATTGCACCTTTCAAGAAAAACGTATCTCTGCTGATTCAGACTATGGCCATCAATCTTCAGGTAATAATAAATGATTAAATTATTAAAATTTTAAAATCATTTTTTTTCAATAGGTTATGTTTCTGATGGTGATGTTCTACAATATGATATACAATCAAAACAATATCTAACTACAGATCCTGGATATATGTCTGAAGGACCAATTTACAATGATTCTAAGTAAATTAAACTATTTTTTAAAAGTCTGCTTAATAGTATTTATTAATTGTATTAAATTATTTATTTAATATGGGGTTTACAGTTATAGTATGGTTTAGGGTAGCATTTAATTATGGAAGCTAATGAAAAAGTACTTTTGGGAATATGTATATTAGTGCATTAATTTCTGATTAAATATTTGTGTTAACCCTTTTAAATTCAACAGCTCTAATATGGAATATTGTCAAATAGGTCAACTTGACACAGCTAAATATCTATTGTCGTTTGAACCATATGAATCTATAGCAAAATCTAGTAAAATATTTACTAGTAATGTTATGAAGTACAAAATATTTGTTGACAAAAATTAAGTGATTAAACCTGTATAGTATTTAACAGCCTCAAGTTTATTCACCCAATTTGGTCCATTTGACGGTATTTTTGTGATGCCTATATGTTAATTGTTTTATGCTTACAATAAAACATTTCTATAAAAAAAGTTTTATTTTAGATTTTCATGATTATTTAATTTAGTATCATACCATGAGTTATACTTTCATTGCAATATTTTTGAAAACATGTAGATACATATATATAACTGATTTGTAGCAAGTCATCAATCTAGACTTAATATAGATTAGATATATATGGCAATTTAACAATTTCGTGCCTATTCTCATGTTGTTGCATTTGCATTTTTTTTTGGTGTTTAACTAAAAAAAATTTGGTTACGATTTATTGTTATGTAAGCTATAAATCTGTTTCAATTTATACAAATTTATGTATGAAATCTTTTAGTACATTTTTTACTATTTTTAGGATTTTTCATGTTATACTAAAAATTTTAACATTAAAAAAATAAAAATATATGAAGCTTTTTAGTAATGTTATCAAGTATAGTAGAAATTAATATTAAGAAAAAACTAAATGGTCTTAATAGTTATCTAATTCTTTCCAATATCTTAATACTGAAAATACTTAAAATTCTAATATTATATTTTTGTTGGCATTGTAAAACTTATATATAATGACAATATCTTAAGTTTCCTACATTCTTTTACATACATTTAAACTTTTTTTAAAATTTTGTATAATATTTTTTCAAATTAGTAATTTAACTATTATAACAGAGAGGACAGGAAAATCTGTACAGCTTAGTTCTTTAGAATTGAACCTCGGCACCTTTGTACAAAAGAACAATGCGTTCCTAAAATAATTTAATGATCTATACTTATTTAGTATAGATAAGTATTTTTTTATTGTTCAATTGTATTCATTTTTTAGAGAAATGCAATAAATTTTCAAGATTTACTAGTGCAAGTCCTAGTAAATTAACATATTCTTAAATAAATGATTTTGTACTAACATTTTTTTCATTTTGTTCACTAATTCTACTTTTATTTGTTGCATTATAAAAGTGTTCTTAATTTCTGCAATGAAATTGAATTATAGATTACATTTGGTTTTGTCTTTAAATGAATTTATTCATCTATTTAAATGAACCATTTATAATACACAAAGAAAATACAAATTTAATTTTTGAAAAAATAACATTTTTAATCCCTGTATATATTTACACAATAACCAATCATTTGCGAAATGTCGACTTTTTTTTGAAGGTACTCTGAAAAATAAAATGTATTTGGTAAATAAAATGTCTTACATATTTATTTTATAATGTATAAATATTTACAAATATTGATATATAGGGGGGTCTAAACCTTACACCCTTAAATATAGCTCTGCGACCTATATAAAAATTCTGATTTAGCTCGCAAAACTTGCATTGAAGCCTATTAAAAAAAGCTATTATCCAGACTTTTATAAACTTTAATCAAGCCCTAAATCGATTCATTTTGAAAATATTGACTAGGTTTACATTTAAATTTTTATTCGGGCTTTCGAGAATTTTTAGCTTCGATGCGAAGCTGAGAAGGTATTGGTTTTACTAAGATGTGTTTTTTTTTTTTTGTGTGTCTGTTACCACTTTTTCTCAGCTCTCACCGAACCGATTTCTTTCAATGATACGTCAAAAGATCACAAATCGTATCTTGTCGAAGACATTACCCTCAAAAATTGAAAAAAATTCCCTCGTTCCCCGTAAATGGGAGAAACCTCCAAAAAAATTACGAATTTAAAAATCGCTAATTTTTTCAATTTTTTCAATTTTTTTTACTTAAGGGGGGATTTAAAATGACAACTTTTTCACAAAAAATTAACTTTTTCAACTTAACTTTTGAAAATGTTACGGAAGGTCTGACACTTTTATATATATCTTAAATTAAAGCTAATGTAATGTACTTTAATATGCAAAAAAAAATTTATTTTTTACATTTTTAACTTTATAATTATACAACTTATTGAAAAGTGTATGGATCAACATAATTTTTTTATGAGAAATAATATTTTTTAATAATCCCTTTTTCATTCGACATACTTTATCTGAATCACGATATTAATAACGAACTAGCAGATCATGTTGCTTTTGGTATAATCCACCAATTTTTTAAAATTAAACACTATCTAAAGATTTGCATCGAAGCGTTTTTTTTATAGTGATTTCAATCACTGTCAGATATCATAATACTTGGTCCAACTGTTACGTCGCTATTTAGGGGTTGAGCCTAAATGCCCGTCGACAGTATTCTAAGGGACCAACGGGGGATAGCTGGCTAGGCTATATCTACCTTAGGTACTGAAGTTTCCTATTTAATTTATATTCCCTTAGAGGAACTACCAAGGGTCGCACTACAATATATATATATAACACTTTAGGTTAACAACGATATAAATAAATATTTATTAAGCAATTTAAATATTAAATGGATAATACAACCTGCTGGACACCTAGAGATGTTATAATCCAACAGGGAGCTGACGGCGACACACACACACACTATAATATACGGGGTAGCGAAGTTAAGTTAATTATCAGGCAAAAGTAGTGATCGCGAAGATGGTAAAATGTCAACTGTCGATAGGGATATCTATTATGGCACATTGGCCGTGAATTGCAAAAAGTGTTTATGTGTGCAGTCCGCCCTCCTGTTAGTATTGCTGTATGTCACTGTGTTAATTATATACATATATATATATATATTAAACGGTACAACGATGTTATGGGAGACAGAGATATGGGCACATGCAAATGTGATCGTATCACAACTATGCCACGTCATCACTGTGCCGCGATCCCCCTGTGCTGGGTTTTTTTTTTAAATTATTTTGAAGTATACAGAGTGTTTAGTAAGTAAGGAAAAAGATCTGTTGTTACAAACAATGAGAACAATAGAAACCTGTTTCCTCACTTATTGAATACTCTATATATCTTCAGTCTATTTGACTTAATCACCTGGTTACAAAAATTATCCTTTTAAATTTTTATTGTGTAACCCATAAAATGTTTTTCATTTTTTTGGTCTCTATTCCCCCATAAGAACTTATTCTAGTTTCAAGAAAAAAAATTCGTTCGTTATTTAGGTTGGTATTTTCTTATTAAATTAATAAATGAAATTAATTAAATATTTGTCCTAATCATGCTATTATATTATTATTCTGTACAATGTTTTTTAACCTCGGTACATATTTTATTTTCATTATTTATCATAATATTTAACTAGTAGTTCAACTAAAAAAATATTTTTAATCCAAAATAATTTGATACTTTCAAAAGCGTAAAAATGGAATCGTTAACTCTTGTTCAAGCAAAAAGATTTCATTTGATTAATATAATTGTGTGGGTTTGTTTTTTAGTTATAACAAATTTAAAGGGGTGTAATAAAACACCGTTAATTCGTTGTGCATATGAGTCATCTTATGAAAACAAACCATGCATTACAAAATTAGGGTAGGTATATATAATATGAATCAGCCATATGTCCCTTAGTGTAGCAATATAAATTATTTTTATCGTTTACGTATTGACAGTTAGAATTTTTGTTCAAGTTTCTTTTTATACAAACTATATAAACAATTGTTGTCTTATTACAGATAGGATTTGACAATTATTTAAAATATTATACGATTAATTCATCTTATTAAACCGGTTTTTTATGAGTTTATAAAATATGTTTGATCAATTTTTTATTATTCTGACAAAAATAATAGTAAAATTAACATAAAATAAAATGTTTATTTAATTATATTCATAATAAATTTGTTGTTTTTAACGAAATTTTAATTCTGTGCATATATTATTATTATTAATTAGAAAATCATGCGCAAATTTGGTTGGTTTAGACCCGTCAATTATAGTGTTTAGTTAGTTAGGAAGCAGATTAATTGTTACAAACAATGATAACAGTAGATACCCGTTTTTTACTAAACACCCTATATGTTTCAAAATTTCAGAAAAACTATATGTACCTATTATAATAGAAAAATAATTTTTGGGGGCGAGGGTGCCGGAACTATTTTATATAGGAGTGGTACAGATGTTGAATGAATAATTTAACCCATTATTTTTACAAAGCTAAAAAGTTGGTAATGTTATTTATTTTTTATTTTTTTATTAATTTTTAGTTATCATAAAATAAGTTCCGGTAACTTATAAACTTACCCTTAATAATATATATTAATATAATGTACCATATTATTTTATATATATTATACAAAGTACACCCAGAGAAAAACCTCGATCTATATAATAAATTAATTGTTCAATTTGATAAATATATCATTACTATTGAATCAATGATATATTTATCAATATGATATTTTTTTTTCTTGTCTTGAACAATAATTATTTATAAGAATAGTTATTTTGTTCGTATTAATAAAACATTATCATAAACCCTTGATAAAATTTCTCTTTCAATTTTGATTGAGGTTTTTCTTTGGGTGTAGTNTAATTTCATAAATTTCTTGATTTATAAGTTTTATTAATTATTTTTTTGATTCACCTTTTTACCTTATAATTAAAGGTATATTCATACCTTTATTTTAAATCAAATGACTAATGAACTTTTTTTTAACTTAACCCAGGTCTTTAAATTCTAAAATTTTTCTTAATTATTATTTTGCCGGAATCAATTCTGTCGGTAAAATGATAGTTTTGCTCTTCTGTATTTTGACTACGGGAACAATTTCCTCTATGCTCTTAAGTTTCGACATTGTTAGGAAGGAGAAAATATTTATTAAAATTGCGCCTATGTGAAAAATGTTAACCGTAAAAATGAATAATTTGTATTTTTTAATTATAAAGTTTAAATTGATGACACAAGAGAACTAATCCCCTATTCTTCATTACGATTAACTATCGTGTCTTTTTTTGCGTTTATTGAAAATATAATTTTATGTATATTTTATTGTTTAAAATTGTCTATACTATAGTAACATAATCGCCTTCATTATTAAACCACACATTTCGACATTTTCAGAAAATTATTTTTTTTTTAAATCTATGTTATATTATATCTATAACATATATTAAATTGTTTTGGAGTGAAAGACTTCCATTTTTTATCTAAATAATGTAGTATTTTCATTATTAGTTTTGTAAAAGTGGTTTATTCTTATCGTCCTTGCGAATAACTTTGAAAATCTTAGATAGATTTGTTATGAAGACAGCTGAATTAAGGCCGTATATAGAAAAAGCAATAGCTCTCCCCCCCCCAAATAATAAATAAAAAAATTTTATTTTAATATTATTAGTTAAGATTTTATTATACTTTATGCTCTCCATTTTTATTTTAAGCTTTTAAGTTCGATAAAATATTTAAAAGAAAAATTGACTGTTTTTTTATTCATCAATACTTATATAAAGAACATGTCTAAAAAAATTGAGGGCACCAATTTCATATAACTACTATATGCCAAGATCACAGTGCCTATAATGCTTTATGAATAATACGATCCTGAATAGAGAAGATAATATACTATATAATACTGTAAATTTTATGAAGAAAAACACAATGATAATATTTCTTATTATAATCTTTTACATATAGTTGATAAAAGTTATTGAAAAAAATGATTATTTATCATTCGTTTTTTAAATTTATATAAAAATATAGTAGTTTTGTTAAAACACAATTTTTTCAAAAATCATTAGGACATTTTAGTAAGTAAATTAACCAAAATGGTTAAAGCAATTTTTATTTTTATCACATCATTGGGATGAATGCCCCTTTTAACTTCATCGATTATACTCCCCTCACTAGACCTTGAATACTCGACCCTTTACAATGATCTCAGACGTCTTGTTGGATACTCCGACCACAGCGCCACAATAAAATTTACCCTTCGCTTTTATCTTCTAATACAATTCGGTGTTCATTATAAAATTTGACTACTGCTTTTAATTATAAAAAATGTGTTATGAAACATGCAAATATTTTAATATAATTAAATTACCTTTTAAAGAATTTTTAATTACTCTACTAATTTTAAAGTACTACAATAGATGGCGCACGTGTATAATATGTTATTGTTAGGGGGTGCGGACATCCATAAGAGTAATGTGCTTAACACACCCCTTTAAGTAGTTAGCTGTAGTTGTAAAACGTTACAGAGTAGTGATCGCGACTGTAGCTATTTGGTTATTTCCAGCTTATCTCTAGTAAAATAAAAGTAATAATAAATTCTTTCTTTGTAAATTTTAGTAATTTTTGTTTCAAAATATATTGTTATTAATGTAACTTTATTTTTATTTATTAATAAGTCATAAAAATTAGTTTTTTGTATTACAGATCTAGTAGATATCAAAATTCTATTTTTAACAATAAATCAAATAACGTTCAACCAAATAGTACAATTAATTTGAAACAGAGGTAAGATTGCACATAAAAATTTTAATTACAAAATATTTTTCTAACAATATAACAATAATGTTAGAAAAATATAAATATAAAAATATAAATGTAGGTAACTATCTACATTTATACATTTCTTAAAGATTATTATATTTATTTTATTTTTATTTATATCAAACAAAATCAGTTTTAAAAGTATTTCTTATTAGGTATGTAAGAATGATAATATTATATTTTTTTAAATTTAATCCTTTTTATTTTCAAAACATATTGTTTATTATAAAATAGAAAAAATATAAATATTTAATAAATTAAATATAAAAATATAAACATATTTATATGTTCTTTAAATATCTTATATAATAATCTTTATATTTTTTTAAATTACTATTATTATTATAACTATTATTACTATATTGTGATAATAATAATGGAGAAGTTAAGATTAATCACGGATTTTATTAGTCAAATGAGACAATGAATAATAATATTTTTTAGTTACCAATATATTACCGATGAACATTATTCCAGTTATGCATTTTTTTTTCTATTTATCAATCAAGTGTTCAAATATTTGTTGTGCTATGTTTAAACATGTTTTCAGATTGTTACTTTAATTTAATATATTTTTAGGGTTGGTTCACTTGACAGACTTAATACAAAAACAAAAGATCCAAGTATCATTAGTTACCAACAAAAAATCAAAGTATGTATTAGGGAATATTTAAAAACTAATTATTCTTTATTATATAATACTTATAATTAATTTATTATAATAAGCTGAATCAATTCAATGTGGGGCCTGGCGGGGGCTCTTCAAGTCTTGGCCCTGATGTCAGTCCTCCTACAAGTCCTCCAGAGCCTACACCCGTTGCACCAGTATATAAAGTGGTTTCACGAAGTCATATCAAAAAATCTGATAGTGGGCAACAAACGGAACAAAATAATTCGAGTATAAGGTGTGGAAAAGCTACTATTGATAACTATCACAATAATATTGTTTACAATTTTAATTATAGTTATGTAAAATGATTTTTTTAAATAGACAATCATCACAATGGAAAAAATACATAGAGGCTGGTAAAAATGCAGAACAAATGAGATCAAATGAATTAGTAAGGGTTCGAGATAAACAGAGTCCAAGGAGAACAGAAAAAAAACGGTCAATAGGTAAAAACATTTATTCTAATAAATATTTTAATAATTCACTTAATCAATTTGTTTATAATTATAAACAAATCAATTTTAGATGGATCACATGAAGATATTCAAAGTTTAGAATACTTGGAAAGAAAATCCCGTAGTGATAGGGCTAAAGGACGAAATGTTCCTCAAAGTTTTGGGTATACTAAAAGGTCTACCTCTAGTTCAAATGGTAAAAATGATCCAAGAACTGCTCAAGTTTCAGCTGTACCCAGAACAAAAGTAAATATAATTAGTTTTGAATTTTTAATTTCTGATACTTATTAACCGAAAAATTGTGTTCTTATTAGGTTAAAGTCTCTGGAGGAACTCAAACTGATATGAAGTCTTATTCTGTAAGTGGTCCTAATGCAACACAGTTATCCCAAAGTGTTAGAGAACGACTAATAGCCAATCAGTTAGATCAAGAAGCAAAAACGAATAGTCCTTATGGTACTTGGATGAGACAAAGTCCAGTTCCAACACACTATACTGCTTCTCTTCCTTCTAGGACTGGAGCTATAGGTAAATAATTTAAGTAAAAATATTTCTAAAAATAATTTTATTTTATATATATTTAGGAGGTATGATTGAAGCTGAGAGTATAGAATCACTTCCTGCACAATTACATCATCGAGCAAGTTTGACACATTCTAGAATAATGGCTTCAGCTTCGCCCAATATTAGCACATCACCCACTCAATCAAATAGAATATCACGAAGCAATAGTATAAGGTTAGTTTTAAAATTTGTTATTAAATATTGTTACTTAAATGTTCATTACATTTGAGAAATATTTAGAAAACAAGTTTTTGTTTTTTGGGGAAATTTAATGCTGTAAATTTATTTGCAGCTACCTTAGAGATCGGACGTTTCCAAGGTAGGCACATTGCCAAACAAATTATTGTTTAACATCACGTTTTTTTGCTTTTAAGTTTTAATTACCAAATTATCACTCATTTTTTTTAGCTTTTTTGTCACATATCAACTATGTATTAATAGATTTATAAAATATACTTGTACAATTTCAGGTCAACTAAGTCTGAAAAATTGTATCCATCGATGCTTCAACGCACTGATGACCCAGATTCTTATTATAGTATTCCTTATTCATCTTCTAATCGATCAGAAAATCGTACATTTCCTCATGCTTCACAGCCTACAAGTCCAACTCCAGCTGGTCGTTATAATTATCAATCCCCCCAGCCAAATCACCGATCAATTTTGTCATCACCTTATGCTGCCTCAATAATGAATAAAATCAATGCTAAAGATGATGATGGTAAGAAAAAATGGTATTTTAATGTTTATTATTTGTGATTTAATAAATTATATTCAAATTATTTTAAAGCTCATGGTTCAGCCTTAAGCCTGATATCGACTGGGTCATCATCCTTGTATAGTGGAATGGGAGCTGATGAAAAACAAGCACAAGAAGTTAGGCGATTAAAAAGAGATTTAAGTGATGCACAAGATAAAGTACATACTTTAACAAGTCAATTATCAACTAATGTAAGTTTTAACAGTCTACTTTCAATGGTTCTAGAAATTCTTACAAAATTAGGTGTTATCATTTTATAGAAGTGGAAATCAATGAATATATTTTTAATCATTTATATATAATAAATATCTTAATAGTGTCAAGAAAAGTGGAATATTTAATTTTTTAAATTGCGTAGTTTTACATTAGTCATATATTTTCTTCTTTAAGGGTATAAGAAAAAAATATATAATATGGGTAATATTTTTATATTTATACTTAGAAGGTAAATTGTAAGATTTAAGATGTTTAGAAATCAGTAGTATATTTATTATAAAGTTAGTAGTTGTTTTTTAGTATTTTATAAGATATTACTATTAACATAATATTAAAATTATTTATAGTATTGAATAATTGAAAATTATCCTGCATTTTAATTTTTTATTTTAATATGTCAAACAATATTTTTTTCTTAATGACTAATGGCACATATACTTTATAATATATTAATGTTCCATAAGTAAGGAAACGGGTTTTTATTGTTTTTGTTGTATGGTAACAATTGACCCATTTAAAAATGAATTAAAACAAAATTTTCAATTAAAAAAATATTAAGTATGATATAAAACAATTATATTTTGTTTTATAATTTTCAAAAAAAAAACTTTTGATTACAGTACATTTTTTTTATTATTAAATTTCAGTGATAACACTTGATATTTAATAAGATTTTAAGGTATTTTTAAACTCATCAAAATTTTTAACATAAACATAATTTTCTGTATCATCATCCAAACATATTTTTTTTATTGGAGGACTATTAATATCATTGTCATTTGTTAAGTCTTCAGAATTTCCAATAATTTCAACACTGAGTATTCTACTATTTTTTAAAAAACCATCTTTTAAGATTTGAACATCTTCAAATTTTAAAATTTTTAGTGCTTTTATTTCCAATTCCAATCTATCAAATTTAAAACGATTCTCTAAAATTTCATTTCTATTTCTATTAAATTCTTGTACTAAACAATCATCTGGAGCTGTTTTTAATGCAATCAAAGCTTCTCTTACTTTATCAACTTCCTCTGCATCACTGAAGTCTTTCCAAAAGTTTTTTAAAAATTCATCCATTTTTTCAAACACATACTTAGTTTCAAATTTTTTTTTTTGGTGGGCCACTTTAAAATAAAATCCATAGTGTTGAAAAGAGGATGTTACATTAAATTGAACATCATAACCTAGACATTGTTTTGTTCGTAACTCATCAAATGCAGATTCTTCCACCATAGACTGAAGTACATAATATTTGACAGAGTCCTGCAAGTTATTTTTATCAAATTGATAATATTTATAAGCTATGGAATTATTATCATTGGGATTGTAGTTAGACAATTTTATTCGGTTTTCTCCACTGTTTAGTTTTTTTACTAACATTACAGGAAAATCTTTCTTGTCTAATGGTTTGTAATTTAAAGTATCAACAACTCTTTGAGAAATATTTATAGCTTCATTTTTATGGATATTTCCTTGAATTAGAGCTTGACAGTATAAAACTGTCATATTTTTATAAAACTCTATCAATGTATTGTAGTTTAATTTTTCTAAACTTTTTAATTTTTCATCCAGGTTCCAATCGGGTTCTTGTATCAAACTGTTTTTTAAATCAGATGGTACATAGTCTAGATCATACTGATTATTTTTTAGTTTATTTATAGCTTTAGGTTTTACCATTTTGAATATTTTTTCAGTCATCAATTTTTCATAATCTTTTATGTATTTAATTACAATATTAATAAGTAAATGTAATTTTTCATTAAAACCAGTAAATGTCAATTCAAATCCATTATAAAATATTCTTATTCCATAAGAAAGTTGAGCCATTGCTGCTGGATATGTCTCTTCATTTAATAAAAATACAATTGAATCCAAAAATAAATCAAAACATATGTAGTTTTCTAAAGATTTTGAAGGTAATGTTGATATAAAATTCAACATAACATATCCTTTTGGTAATTTAAAATGCGTATCTTGTTTATACCATAATTCTATATACTCATTTTCAAGTATTTTTTGTGGATATCTGTTATAATCTGCTAATTCAGGTAAAATTGTAAAATTTGTTGTTAAAAATAGATTTTCTTTTTGAATACTGTAGTACTGGTGAGGCTTAATAGTTGACCATTTTACTTCACACTCACTGGTAATTGATTCTGTTATATATTGTGTTCCAAAAATAGGATCTTTGGTAAATAGATCTGAATCATTGAATTCTTTAGCTAGCACAAATATTGCTACCCGATCTGCAGTTAATAAATTGATAAATTTTTGTATAATTTCTGGGGAGTATTTTAGGAATAAAAATGGACCACTTATGTAATCTTCTTCTTCATAAACAAGCATATTTTCTGATAATTCAGTAACATGATCAATAGCAGATTTACTTTCAGCAAAGTTAAAATCATTTTCAGCCAAAATTTGTAGCTGTTTAAAGATTGCTTCTGAAATACCTTCTCTTCTAATTAAATTTAAGTAACCAAATGTTAATTCAATTACTTCACCTAATTTAGTCAGGCCCAATGTGGTTAGTTCAATAGTTATTGAAAACAAACTATAAATACTGTTACTGGAGAAATCATCTTCTATTCCAGCCTCTAGTTCCATTGCATAATTTAATTGTCTTAAGTAGCTAATTAAAGTACCTTTTCCTTCATGGCCTATAATCCAAGCCAAATACTCCAAAGGTTTATTTTTGTATAATTTAATTACTGGTGGTAAATACCAAGAAAATATTATTTTTTTTGTAGAACTTATTGAAATAATTTTTGTTAATTTATGAAAACTCTCCTGGACAAATGGTTCTGGGCTTACCTTAAAATTTGGAGGTACTTTATTATCTGTTGGTATACTACTAAACATCTTTTCAACCCATTCTAGCATTTCATGAGTTGATTGCTTACTTTGAATTGCTAATGTCATCCTACTAGCTGAATAATACTTTTTCCAAAAATCAACTACCATTTGGCCCAAATTTTCATCATTCAAACTTTCTAAATTGCCCCAAAAAAATTGACATGCAGGGTTTGACTTATCAGCACACATAGATATTAATCTAATTATAAAATATTAAAATAAAGTGTTTGATATTTTATTTGATAACTATTTGATTATACAAACCTTTGAATACGACTATCATCATCATTTAATGCCATTTGAAATTCTGAATCAACAACTTGCTTTTCTTTATCTATTGATTCTTTGGCCAATTTTGGGGCCTGGAACATACTGGCAAATATATCTGCAGCTTCTTGAAAATATTCTAGAGGTACTTCAAAATGAAAATTTGTATACTCACATCCTGTTTCGGCATTTGAATAACCTGCTTTACGGTAAAGAAACCGATCAAAATGATTATCTGCTGGAAAACGTTCACTACCCATTGATACCATATGTTCTAGTAAATGAGCTAATCCTTGTGCTTCTATTGGGTCACAAAAACTTCCAATATTAACACATAATGACATAGCACAAGAATCTGTTAATTGTGATTCATTTTCATCTTCAGTACTAGAGCAAGAACTATCTGATGAAGAACCATCACTATCTTCAACAGTAATACATGAAGTCTGTAGTTTAGGTTTGTTGTTTAAAATGTCTTCATTTTCTCCGACACTAATAAGTAAACATCGCAAACCATTCTTTAGAGTATAAGATAGATAATCTTTTTTATTACCCAAACCTTTGCGTATAAATTTTTGTAGATTGGACATAATGACTAGAAGATACTATATAAACTAAAAAAAAGTTTCATGTTTAAAAAAAGTAAATGACTAACAATAAATTTTCTATCTAAAGACGTTAGTCTTATCGCTTAGTAAATTTAAAGTAAACTTATTAACATAGAATATTACTCTATGAATGCCGCATATTAATTTTTGATAAGAATATCATTCATAGTAAAAATACAGTATTACCAACTCAATACTATAAAATATTTTTATTATGCTTCATTAAAAAGGGAGCATTAGGTTACAATAAATACTTTTTGAAAATTTAGGTGGTTTAAGTTAGTTAGATAATTTTTTTAATGCTTATTACCATTTCAAAAATATTCCATATACATTAATACATACGAATCAATACACATTGATTTACTTTAGTTCATAAGCGTAAATATTAAATAAAAATTTCCCACTTTAAAAAGATTTTTATATTACCATAAATCTAATTTTCCAAAATTCTTGGTCGTACTAAGTTGTCAAAACTCTCCCTATCTGTACCTATGTTTAAGTTTGAAATTTATTTCATAATTTATTATTTATATATTATTTTATATTTATCTTAATTGATGATATGAACAAATTTTGTTGGAATATTCATAGCCAAATAATTTGAAAATAGTAGATGAAAATCTGATGTAACAGTTATTTAAAAAAAATTAGAAATTAATTTTACCTAAGCGTCGTAAAAATAAATCTGTATGGTATTCTATTTTATTGTAAGAAATTCTTACTAAAATTTTTAAATAAAATTAATCTAATTAATGAAATTTCAATAATTGTATCTTTTGTTTAATTTTTTAATGATTTATAATGCTTAAAGACTTAGTATATTACCAGAATTTTTTATAATCTCATTTAAACACGCTCTATATATAAAAAGGGGAAGTTTTTTTCACGAGGGTGTATTCTTTTGCAGTGGTTGCCAGGTGTGGTTTCTATTTTATTGTTGATCATTACATTACATCGATTCGTACTTTGGTGCTATACAAAGAGGCGAGAACATACTTTAAGTATAACACGTTATTTTTATTTTTGTGTTGTAGAGTTTTTTTTAATTCTCTGAAGTTTAGGCTAAGTTTATCAATTTTATTAAAGTAAACTGTAAAGTTTATTTTAATGAAATCTGCGACTAAAATTATATTCCTTAATAATTGTTTTTTCGTGGTGTTAAATGTTAATGTAAAAACTAATTACCTTTTTAAATAGTCTGCAATTATCTATTATACTATACATGCTATAATTATATGATTAATAATAGTTAAGAATAATTAGCTCAACACTTCATCAAGTTATTTATTAAATGAACTATCGAAAGTAATTATTTTCAATTGGTTATTATTACTTTTTTTTTTTTTTTTTTTTTTTAAAACTCAAATCCTTCCTTTAAAAATGTATAAAACACTTTACAAAATGTTAAGTTTATTAAATTTTTTTTAAACTTAAATTAAATTGCCGTTTACAATTGATATATTATACCGTATGATTATGTATTATTTTCTATTACATTGTTAAGGTATTCTTGTCGCATGTTGAACGTCATTGAGGATTTTGTTGAATGGGATGTATTTAATTATTAAAAATTGAACAAAAAAGATTATTGTAGTCAACGCATATTTATAAATAAAAAAAACACTCATTGACAACATAGTGTTCATTTTTTTTAAATAAGCTGAAAGTATTGTGTTCAACAACCTCTGATCGATCATCGGCACTTGTTGACATTTAATGCAATATTATATGCACGTGAAGTATGGTGCAAATTGTGTTTATACACATGAAAAATACAAAACTTTAAAAAAACTGCATTGCTATTTGCAGATGACTGTTGTACACACATTTTTTAAGATTTGAATTTTCAATTCAGTTTGTATTATATTAATCGTATACTTATCACTTTTATTTAGTATATAGGTAAAATAGGTGTCATAAAAAGTTTGGTATGTTCAACATTTGGCGCAATTTCTATGACGTTTTTATTTGTATTTGATTTTTTTAATGAATATATTATTCCAAATGCTTCGTAATCATTTCGAATGTGTTATAGCACAAACAAAACGCTTCTACATTATACTTCTACAAGTATACATAGTGTTCTGTAGTTAATTATTTTTATAATAATGTGCCTTGAGATATAAGTAGGGGCGATTTCATAGGAGGGGACACGTTTAAACGTTCAACTATTAGTGGTGGTCGGAATTTCTAGAATAAATTGTTAACTTTTACTTATCAAGGTACTTAAGTTGGCAAATTCATGGCAATCAGTCGACAAAATTCACTTCACATCCCCTTTAAAATAAAACTCCCATAGATATAATTTTAAAAATTAAATTACCCGCACTTTAGTTTTCATATTTCGTCTATTTATTAACTACTAATATCGTTTGGTGTAATCAAATTTAACTTAGAGATTTTACGTAATTCGACCCTCAGGCGTGTTGTTGATACATAAAACTAATAATAATTTGATCGCTAATATTAATCAAGTAGGCGTCTATATCAAGTAACAAATAACTAAAGCAAGATCGAACAAAAAAAACCTGCTGTGAGCTTTAGCTGTTCCATGTGATCTGAAGTTAGTTATATTTTTTTTAGAAAATCGATTTGTTTAAATATTATTATTCATTAATTTTTCCTCAACGAAACTATTAAATATCTCATTGCCCGTAAGCTGATTTTTTGAGTGTTGTTTTTTCATCGGACTAGTAAAATATATCTCGAGAGAAATATCGGACATAATTAGACTAGTTTTGTCTGTTGTTGACGGACAGACCGTAAATTCTACTAAAACTGTGTTTATTTACCAGAATGCTGCCAGGTGTTCCGTGGGCCTCTTTACTTTAGTCCACCATTAACGAAAGCATTATAATTACTAAAATATTTTCTCGAGTTAGAATCAAATATTTGGAGTCCGTGACCAACCCTGCGCCCTCCTATTTCCGAACATCACAGCTCGTGTAATGTTCTCCTCGTCGACGAAAACTCAAACAACTGCGATTCGTAATTTTTTAAATTACATATTTACCCCATAACGTTCTCTCACTACTGTTATTAGTCTCATATTATGCCTCGGGATGAACAAACTCGTTTTTATTGAGGAAGTTGTCGCCCGCTATTGAAACAATAGTGAGTATGATTTAAACGATGAATTAATTGAGGAAGAAGAGAATTATGTTTATTGATAACTGATGTATAAATAACTAGTGATTGAGGTCTAAACTTTTAAATATAATTGGTAATTTCAATAAATAATACTTAGATGCCCGTAGAATTTTGTAACCATTAATTATTTTCCGTATAATAGCAATAAATATTAAATATTTACCGCTATAAATTTACACAAATTTTGTCGAATGATTAAAAGTAATGAGGTCGGGATAAGAATAATTTCGCTTTTGTTAAACAATTTTCGTGAGGTTTACATTTCTATTTTAAAATAGTTGAATTATTAAGAGTGACGATTTGTTATCATTTGTATAGAACAAGGAAATACATTTTTATTGGTAAACTGCTATTTTGTTTGAAAAAAGCGTCACTTATTGTTGAGCTCGCGTTGTAATGTTTTTATAGTAACTAAAAAAAATTGTTGATATTATTTATAGCTTATTTTGTCTGCGAGAACCGATCGTTTTATCAAGATATAGATAGATTTTATCAAGAAGTTGGATTATTAAAAATAATTTACCAGTAAAATTAACTTAATCTTATCTTAACCGTATTATAAATATGATGGATTGGACGCATGTATTTTTAAGTAGTCCATACATGTGTTTATAATTAATGACTCTTAGGAAATTACACGTTTTTTTGTTGACGTTTAAGGCAATGCGCATTAAACAAAGATTACCTAAAATGTACTCGCTAAACAGCTAAATGTAACGCGCCGAATATTAATGCGAAGGTATGATTTTTGATACTTTTAAAAAACTTTGTTGCAGCTTGAATACTGAAGATTTATTTAATCGCGTGATATTTGACATTAATCTGCACCATAAATGTGGTCAATTTATTTTTTGTAGTGAACTATTTATCAGTTAGTTGGACGTTGTCGAACTAGTGGAGCATACGGGTGCTGTCCAAGTGACATGGTGTGATGGATCTTAGTTTCCATCGGATGTTCTGACTGAACTCCCAACAATAATATTAAACCATGTTCCCCACATTTTCCTGTCTATTACTTTTTACCAAGATCATATTACTCTGTTTGCGTACCGCTGGACCAAAACGATCAAGATACTCGGTTGTTGTTATACTTCCCGTGCAGTACAGTCCGCATTACAATAGTAATACTCCCTGTAATTATCATCATTGTTTGGCCTGAAGTCAATGTGTAAACGGTCGATGGCCACGTCGTTTGTTTGTTATTTTTATTGCTTCGGTATGAATGAACGGACATAGACCGACTGTGTGTTTATTCATTTATTGTTGTGGTTATTACGAGTTGTGTTATTAACAGGCCGACACTGACGTCATGTGCTAACAATGGACGAAACCGCGCACTAGATACTATTTCTTTAAGTTGAAATCGTTAGCGAAAAATGTATTTATAACAATAATAAAATGATAAGAGATTCATATATGAACACTAATAAAAACATTTGGCTGTCGCAGGACGTCGTTGGCAAATGCAGCGCACAGGCATCGTTTCGTGTCGCGGGGTCTACGCACTGCGGCGATTGTCGGTTCCCGGACTGCGTGTTAAACTGTCGGCGGGCAACCGACAAACGGATCAGTTTGCTCCTGTCGGCCGAGCGATGTAGTCGTGTCAGTTGCGCTGTCTCGTTTCCCATTCGTTTTCGTAGATGTAATATTTTTGTTCGCCGAACAGAATTAATTATTTGTGAATTATGTATCGAAACAACTTTGGTGGCACGCGGGTTGCAGCTAGCCCATCGTCGGTCGCTGTGCACGACGGTTTCGCCACTGTTCGCCGACCGCATCATTACGTAGCACACAAACGCCGAAGACCTATCGTCTTGGCTACCGCTGCTGGTCACTTATCCCTGGAACCGGTCAGCGAACACGGTGATGAACATTCGCACGTTACCTCTATCGCTTGTCCATCAAGGCCGTTGTCGCAAGTGGACTCGCCTTTGCCGAGCGACGTCCCTTGGTGGGAAATCGCTACCC